AAGACTTTCTCACAAACTATAGAAGTTGGATGGGAATAGAATTTGGGTCCTTAAACTCAATGAGTTCCAGGTTCAAGAACTTTTTAAATTGTGATTTTTTTTTGCTGCTAAAATGTGAGCTAAACCAGAAATTGTTCTATTGAGAGTGTTATGCAGAATATAAAAGCACAGGACAGAAGTCACTGCTGTAAAAGGAAGGAACAAGGAAGAGCATTAAAGCAATTGAAAGGAGAATAAAACCTACCTGATATTTTTCAACATACATCTTAATTTAAACCGTTGAAAAGATGTATGCCACTCTGCATTCACTGGGGTTAAGGCCAACTCAGTGCTGGGCTGCATTAATAGAGGGATAGAATCAAGATCACGTGAAGTATTAATACCACTTTACAATGCCTTGGTAAGGCCACACTTGGAATACTGCATCCAGTTTTGGTCACCATGATGGAAAAAAGATGCTGAGACTCTAGAAAGAGTACAGAGAAGAGCAACAAAGATGATTAGGGGACTGGAGGCTAAAACGTATAAGGAAAGGCTGCTGGAATTGGGTATGTCTAGTCTAATGAAGAGAAGGACGAGGGGGGACATGATAGCAGTGTTCTAATATCTCAGGGGCTGCCACAAAGAAGAGGGAGTCAAGCTATTCTCCATGGCGCCTGAAGGCAGGACAAGAAGGAATGGATGGAAACTGATCAAGGAGAGAAGCAACTTAGAACTAAGGAGAAACTTTCTGACAGTTAGAACAATTAACCAGTGGAACAACCTGCCTCCAGAAGCGGTGAATGCTCCAATATTGGAAGTTTTTAAGAAGAGACTGGACAGCCATTTGTCCAAAATGGTGTAGGGTTCCTGCCTGTGCAGGGGGTTGGACTTGATGACCTCCAAGGTCCCTTCCAACATCATCATCATCATCATTATTATTATTATTATTATTAGTAGTAGTAGTAGTAGTAGTAACTTTAATCCTGCTGTTTTGTCTTAGGCTTACTTTTATCAGCACAATTCATCATTAGCTTTTTAACACTGAACAAAACTTACTTACCAATATCCCACCTTTATTATGATTTTTATAAATAACTCAAGATGGCAAACATCAGTACCTTATTCCTGTTTTCAAAGTGCTCCCTTTTGAATGCCCCAGACATTGAAAATCACAGGTTAAAAGTACTGAATGCCATTAGTTCATATTCCTTTATAACACAATAACAAGAGTTGGAAGGGACCTTGGAGGTCTTCTAGTCTAACCCTCTGCTCAAGCAGGAGACCCCCCCCCCGTACCATTTCAGACAATTTTTTTTTTTTAAACCTCCAGTGATGAAGCACCCACAACCTCTGGAGGCAAGCGGTTCCACTGGTTAATTGTTCCCACCATCAGGAAATTTCGCCTTAGTTCTTCTAGGTTTGCTTCTCTCCTTGATGAGTTTCCATCCCTTGCTTCTTGTCCTGCCTTCTGGCGTTTTGGAAAATAGCTTGACTCCCTCTTCTTTGTGGCAGCCCTTCAAATATTGGAACACTGCTATCATGTCACCCCTCATCCTTCTTTTCATTAAACCAGACATACCCAATTCCCGCACTCATTCTTCACATGTTTTAATCCTATATACACTCCGGACAAAATAATACACAAACTCATTAGAGGTTCGCAGTGGGTGGCAAAGTATATAATTGCTGGGCATCTTAAGACAGGTGGCTCAGGCAGCTTTTGAAATGTGCTCTGAGCTAAGACTGCTGCCTGCTTGTCGTGGCAAAGCCGGTGTGTGAATGTTGGCAACGTTTTTGCTTTGCCTGTACAAAGCCTGACCAGCTTTCCGCCAGATGTCTCCGCCCTCATCTTGAAGTGCTCATTGCCCAGCAGTTGAGAAAGGACTGTCTTAATTCCTTTTACTCTGTGGGCAAAGATTACGGGCCTAGGCACCGCAGGAAGCAGCAGAAATGTTCTGGAAAAGATTTACACCAGATGCGACCTGCAAAAATCCAAATGAACTGCTCGATGTCATCTGGAGATAACAGAAAAAATAGTTACTCTTGGCTGCCACTCAGTACAGATAGTCCTCGACGTACGGACACAAGGGAGCCCAAAATTTCTGTTGCTCAGTCAAAACATTTGTTAAGTGAATTTTGCTCCATTTTGCGACTTTTCTTGCCACAGTTGTTAAGGGAATTGCTGCAGTTGTTAAATTAGTAGCAGGGTTGTTAAGCGAATCCAGCTTCCCCAGCTTAGCAGAAGGCCACAAGAAGGAATCACATGACCCCCCGCGGGACGCTGTGACCGTCGTGAATACAAGTTGTCAACCATCCAAGCTTTGATCATGTGACCGTGGGGAATGCTGTGAAGGTCGTGTGAAAAACAGTCATAAGCCACTTTTTTTCAGTGCCGTTGTAACTTTGAACGGTCACTAAATCAACTGTTGTAAGTCGAGGACTAGCTGTATTGAACTTTTGGTGAAGAGGAATGGGGTCTAGAGAGCATCTGAACCTTGCAAGGACCATTTTGAAGATTCTGCGCTTCTAGCAAAGGAGTTTCAAGTTTGCACTGAAGTCCAAACAAGACTTTTTCTACTGTTCTCATCACGGTCCAGTCCAAGCCGGGAATAAACAACATGGCGACTGCTTTAGAAAGAACGTTGTAGTTTATTGAAAAGGAGAGCCAGGCAGAAAAATGGCGCTGGAAAAAAAGAGAGAGCACATGTAGTAGGGAGTGGGTTTTTATACCTTCTTGGGCTTTTTTTGGAGTTGTTCCTGTGTCATGAACTTTGACCTGAGTTTGAGTGTGCCTTTCTGGTATTCTGATGACGGTGGGTTAATTATATTATGTCCTGCCTTAGAGTTTGGGTGGGGTATGTAGATTTTAAGGGTTTTTATCTTCCTGATCTCTTCAGCTTCTCGCTGGAGGGCTCCAACCTTCCTGAATGGATTATTACATCTGCATTGCTAAAAGCTGGTTTCTGCTGAGTTGTCTGGCTGGGTGTGCGAGTGTGTGTGTGTGGAGAAGTTTCTGCCTTTTTAAAGATCTTCTCCATTATTCCTTTAGGACAGTGGTTCTCAACCTGTGGGTCGGGACCCCATTTGGGGTCGAACGACCATTTCATGGGGGTCGCCAAACAACGCAGTCTGCCATTTTTTCCCCCGTTTTCCTTAGCTGTGCTCCTCCCTTTTATTCTGTTGGCTTTTGAAAGCCAATAGAATAGACTCTCTTGAATAGAGTCTAATTCTATTGGCTTTCAAAAGCCAATAGGAATTGTCCAGGCTGTCTCTGCCCTGCTGAGCCCGCCAAAAGTCCCATTCTGCAAACGGTGCTGCACCAGTTGAGTAATCCTTGACTTACGACCGGTTGAGTAGTCCTCGACTTACGACCGGTTGGGGGTCGCGGCATTAAAAAGGTTGAGAACCACTGCTTTAGGAAAATATATTCTGCCTTTTTTAATATTCCCCAAAATATTTCTCTCTCTGGATTGTTTCCACGTTGCTATGAGCAGCATTTTCCCAACGGTTCGAATCCTAGCTATTTTAGGTTAAGGTTAAGGAAGCTAACCTTTAAAAGGGTTATTTCCTTGCCAGACAGCTCATCTCTAGATCAGGGCTTTTCAACCAGTGGTATGGATACCACCTTGGGTACATTGGCACCTGGCAGGTGGTACGCGACCATCCTAGAAATGTGGTAGCAGGGGAGGGGAATGAGCTGAACCAGTGGCAGCACCACACAAGCCTGAGCGAGAGATGGCTGGAGCTGCAGGGCTGTCAGGGATCAGTGGAAGCGCCAGGATCAGCACCAGGCTCCAGCTGGAGTTCAGTGCTGATCCTGGCGTTTCTGCTGAGCCCTGAAGAAGCACCAATCAGCTGAAATGTTGCAGCCTCTCCAGGGTCTTGTGATTTACATTCAGATGCTTAGCAACTGATTCATGACAGTCACAGTGTCCCAGGGTCATATGAAGTGACCAAAACCTGCTGCAACCACCCAGCAGACGGGGGGGGGGGGGAAATAAAAACCAAACACCCCCCCCCCCCCCCCCCCGCTGCCAATCCTCAACAGAAATGCTCACAACAATGAAAACCTCGGACAGGAAGAGCACCAGTGGGTGGGCAGGCAGGTGTCTTGCCTGGCTATGCCTTGGGGGGGGGGGCACTTTTTTCAATGCCATTGTAACTTCGAACAGTCACTAAGCGAACTGTTGTAAGTCGAGGACTACCTGAACTTTTATCACTTTTTTTTTTTTTGGTCATCAGGTTTTTGACACCTTGCTAGGCGACTGGTGCTACTCGGATGTTGCCATATCCTAAAAGTGGCACAATGGGTGAAAAGGTTGAAAAGCCCTGGTCTAGGTTACCTCTCGCAATTTATTGCCATTCGACAGTCACAACATCAGTTTTAGGTTCTGACTAAGCCCAGCCTAGGAAGTTAAGCGCAAGGCAACTGGCGCCGACGGTGCTCAAGAAGAAAGTGCCTCTTACCCGAGCCAGGCTTCGGCGCGGACCCTGCGGTGCCGAGAGCCGCGGCTTCTCGGACCGCGATCACGCCTTCCACGGCCTCCCCGACGCACCCGACCGAGGCAGCCCCGAGGAAAGGCAGAGCAGGCTCCCCATTCAACCGCTCTCTTCGCGGGATCCCGCAGGGATTAATAATGCACGCGCGCACTAAAGGCACAAACGGATCGCGTTTCTCCTTCTCTCCGGCACGCGGAGATACACTGCTCCCGAACCTGGAGGTTTCACCCTGCCACGGGCAGGCAGCAGAAGCAAGCAAGCAAGCAAGCTCCCCAAAATGAACCCCCCCCCCTTCTCGTCTCGTCTCGGGAGACAAAGCAGAAGGCTTGCTGAGCGTTAAACCCCCGGTGCGAAGAGCCGCCGCGGCTGCGAGCTTCGCCGCCAAAAGCCGAGGACAACCAAGCCGCGCCTCCCAGCCACCCCGGCGCAAGGCGAAACCATCCCAGGTTTGCAGCAAGGTGCAGAGTTCCCTGCTCCGGGATTGGCGAAACCGGGCCAATGAGCTCGCAGGGGAAGAAGGCAGGATTTGTGTAGGCGGAGGAAGTCTGGGGTAGTTTGCGACAGTGGCCCAGAGCGAGCGCCTGTAAGCCCTGCGGAGAACAGGAACTTGCGGCAGCCGCGCTCAATGGTCGTCCGCCTCGGAGCTCGCCGAGCATCTGCAGGAGGTGAGGGAGCGCGGTGGAACGTTCGCGTCGCCAGGGTTCCTTCTTGGAACGTTGGCGCCTCCGGGGTTCCTTCTTGGAACGTTGGGGCATCCAGGACGCCTCGGAACGTTCGCGTCGCCAGGATTCCTTCTTGGCGCGTTCGCGTCTCTGGAGTTCCTTCTTGGAACGTTGGGGCATCCAGGATTCCTTCTTGGAACGTTCACGTCTCCGGGGTTCCTTCTTGGAACGTTCGCGTCTTCGGGGTTCCTTCTTAGAACGTTCGCGTCTTCGGGGTTCCTTCTTAGAACGTTCGCGTCTTCGGGGTTGCTTCTTGGAACGTTGGCGTCGCCGAGATTTCTTTTGGGAACGTTGCGGAGGCGAGTGTCCCCGGGCAGGATCGGGCTGGCCGGGAGAGGCTTTTTGCAGGTGGGGCCGATCCGGCGCGGCGTAGGTTTGTTTTCCAGCGGGTTGTTTCCAGGGAGGAGGAAGAGGAGGAGGAGGAGGAGAGAGTCTCGTCCGAAGAGTGAAGAATGAAAATTGAGAGTGGGGCGGGGGGTGGTCGATTTAAAAAATCAAATCAAATCAGAACTTCCCTATCTGGGGATCCAGGGCATCCTAGAGGCTGTCTATCTGGAGACTTGGAAAGAGAGTTAAGAATTGCCAGATTTGGGGGCGGGGGGGGGCGGGAAGCCAAGAGACGAATGAAGCCCTCAAACCAACGTGAAGCAAGTCGGGCGGAGGGAAGGAAGAGCGGTGACTTTTTATAAGTCCCTCCAAGGATGCGCTTAACGTCAGGCGGTGCAAATTCAGACGCGCTTCCCCCACGGGGCAGAATTGAACTGGGGCTTCTAGGAGCAGAAACTAACCTGGTTTCTCCCAAGTCCTTGCTGCAACCAGGCCTTTCTCTGACTGGCCTGCTTAAGGGGTTCACTGCTGGCCTCTGCCGGACACCCTTCCACCCTGGAAGCAGTGTGGGATTAAGCAGTGTGCAATCTGTAGGATCAGGGTCACACCTTTGTTGCCACTTCTGACACAGGTTAAAGGCTTGTCCTACCCCCGCCCCTCCAGGTACCCAAGGTTACCAAAGAGTTCCACCTGGAATTGCCCAACAGACTGGCTGTATTCCCACAGCAGGCTTAACCAGGTTACTGAATTGTTTTATTTTCTCAGCCTGGAATTTATAGCAGACCAAGCACCACAAAAACAAAACAAACCAATTGAGTTTAATTCCCCCCCCCAAGTTTAGCATGTGGAAGAAAGGATAGTAAAACTTCAAACCATGGCGAGGATGTCACTATTCCTTGTTTGGAAATTTCTCATCAGCTAAAAATTGACATGTTATTTGCGGGCAGTGGATAATGCTAGAGAGAATGCCAAATTTCATTTCCTTCTTCCCTCCCTCCTTCCTATTTTCCTTCCTGCCTGCCTTTCTCCTCATTCCCATTTTCCTTCCTTCCTTCCTTCCTTCCTTCCTTCCTTCCTTCCTTCCTTCCTGCCTGCCTGCCTGCCTTTCTTCTCATTCCCATTTTCCTTCCTTTCTCTCTCCCTCCCTCCCCATTCTGATTTTCCCTTCCTTCCTTCCTCCCTTTCTTCTCATTCCCATTTTCCTTCCTTCCTTCTTCCCTTCCTTCCTTCCTCCCTTCTCATTCCCATTTTCCTTCCTTCCTTCCTTCCTTCCTTCCTTCCTTCCTTCCTTCCTTCCTTCCTTTTCCTTCCTCTCCCTCCCTCCCTCCCTCCCTTTCTTCTCATTCCCATTTTCCTTCCTTCCTTCCTCCCTCCCTTCCTCCCTTTCTTCTCATTCCCATTCTTTCCTTCCTTCTTCCCTTCTTTTTCCCTTCCTTCCTCCCTTTCTTCCCATTCCCATTTTCTTTCTTTCCTTCCTTCTTCCCTTCTTTCTTTTTCCCTTCCTTCCTCCCTTCTCATTCCCGTTTTCCTTCCTTCCTTCACTTCCTTCTTCCCTTTCTTATTCCCATTTTCCTTCCTTCCTCCTTCCCTCCCTCCCTCTCTTATCTTCTTATTCAAACCTTTAGCAGAATTATTTTTTAAAAAAAGAATTCCAGGCTGTGGTCCCAGATCTGCAATCTCTCCTCTTCATCTCTTGGGCTGTGAAGATCAGGGAGGAGGTCTTCCCGGGGCGAATGAGCTGGGTAGCATCCCGCTCAGCCTGCCCCCAGTCCCAGCTGCGATCAAAACGACCGCCTCCAATCGATTGGGCAGGCCTGGGGGATGCCTGTCAGCCTGCTGAGTGCTGCTCTGTTCTTTCTCTCCTCAGCTGCTGATCATGAGGAGGAAAGTTGAGGTTCGGAGGAGAGGCCCGGATCCCTGGCGTTGAACCACAACCGGCTTGTAGCACCCAGCGCCGCAGAAGAAATGCATTTCTCATAAAAGTTGGATTTGCCCTGCCCGACGCTCTGCCTGCCGCTCGGGCTTCAGCCCTCCTGGGAACAAGGGATGACTCTGTTTTGAAAGGAGCGCGGCTTTTCAGATTTGGACTTGGGACACAATGGAGGACTTCACGACCAGAACGTACGGGACCAGAGGCCTGGACAACAGGCCTCTTTTTGGAGAGACGTCGCCAAGGGTAACGGGAAAGAGCTCGTCTTGGTCTAATGCAGGGTTTCTCAACTTGGCAGCTTTAAGACGGGCGGGCTTCAACACCTAGGATTCCCCAGCCAGGAATTCTGGGAGTTGAAGTCCACCCATCTTAAAATTGCCAAGGCTGAGAAACACTGGACGCTAATGGGTCTTTTGCTCTCCAGGGAAGGCCTTGCAGTCAGTTCCAGAGCAGATTTCTGTTCTAGAAGGTGGCAGAGATTTATGCCTGACCGCCTGGCTCCCAATGCCTCTTGCAACTGGGCTCCAGAGCTGGCACAGTAGAGGGCTGAAGATCCTGGAGAAGACCGTTGAGGAATTCTGGGAGTTGAAGTCCACAAGTCATAAAAGGGCCAAGTTTGAAGGCCCCTGCCCTAAGGGTTCATATCTGATCTCAGACGCCAAAGTTTCCTGGGAGAATTAGGACAGTCATTCTTTCTCAGCCCAAACACCTCCCAGGTGGGTGTTGAGTTGTTATCAACGCCACCTTGAGCTTCTCAAGCAAAGGTGAGATGGGAAAGGAAATAACGTAGGTGAAGTGTGGCTGTGCCTGCAGTCTGGGAGATCTTCAGCTGGTCCTCGGGTTAGGACCGTCACTGAGCCCAGATTTTATGTTGTGAAGTGAGATGCTTGTTAGGTGAATTTTGGCCTGCCTTTCTTGCCACAGTTGGTAAGTAAATCACTGCATTTGTTAAGTTAGTAACCCGGTTGTTAGGTGAATCTGGCTCTCCCCCTCGAAGGTCGCGAAAAGAGGATCACACTGCGACCGTCGTAAATAGGAACCAGTTGCCAAGCTGGTCTGGATTCTGATCACGTGACCACGGGGATGCTGCGACAGTCATAAGTGTGACAAACGATCCTAAGTGCCGTTGTAGCCTTGAACGATCACTAAATGACCTGTTGTAAGTCAAGGATTATCTGTATTCGGCATTTGGTTCCATTGTGCAAAGAACTCTTTTCATCCAGTGTCTGGCTTAGCCATGCTGGCTCTGGGCGCCTTTTCAAAATGGCGGCCTCTGCTCAAGTTTTGTGGCTGTGGAGGTTGCATTTGAGTCCGGATTGCATTTTCTTAACGTGCCGTGCCACTGCGGAGACATGTACGAGTTATCCTTTTGAGTAGTGTGATGGAGCAATACTGCGATTGTGTAACATATGCACAATGGCAGGCCTTTAGCCTGCAGTCTTTTAAAATCTTTGCTTACTCTGTTGGGGTCCTCTTTGTGTTGCACAACTGTCTCAGTTGTGACAGATTTACGGTGGAATTTCCTTGAGTTTGAGGGGATCATTTCAAGAAATTTTCCAAGATTTTTTGCCAGGAGAGGGATATTGACCTTCTGGCTTAAATGCAAAGATGACACTTTAAACTTTAATTTACCTGGAGTTTTCATGTAATTTGCCATGCTCGTTTTTTATTGGCTGTGCAATGAGTAGCTTATATTTTGGAATGAGTTAGAGGTAGTTTTCTATCCTTGTGATGGATTTCTTTGTAGGATTTCCCCATAAAGCGCTCTTATAAGCCATAAAACATTATGTAGACCATTCTTCTTCCTGTTGATGGCCTCCAAAGAAATTGGATCACACAGTAGTCAAAGTCCCAACCAGCTTGGTATGTTTTAGGACAGGGGTCTTCAAACTTGGGCCTTTTATGACTTGTGGACTTCAACTCCCAAAATTCCTCAGCCAGCGTGCCTGGCTGAGGAATTCTGGGAGTTGAAGTCTACCAGTCATAAAAGGGCCAAGTTTGAAGACCCCTTTTAGGAGATTGAAGTCTTCCATGTTGATGGAGATGTGGATTCATTTTTCTTGTTGCACCAGCTTTGTTGTGTTTCCCTCTCACACCATCTGACATTTGCAATAGATAGCTTACGCTTTGGAGTTTGTTAGAGGAAGTTTTTATCTTTAGCTGTGATGGATTTTTTCATAGGACTTTCCCACAAATGGGTCTTACAAGCCAAGCTCTATATAGACTTTTCTCCTGGTTGATGTCCTTCAAAGAAGTTGGACTAAACTGTTCTCAAAGTCCCAACCAGCTTGGTATGTTTTAGGAGACTGAGGTCTTCCGTGTGTTAGGGGCAAGACATTTATTAGACTGCCCCTACCCACAAGTGTGTATTGGAAGCATTGAGTTGTGTGTTTGTTTGTCAACTGTGCCCAGTGAGAAGTAGACAGAGTCCAGGTCTGAATCCTCGGCAGATATTCTAAAGCAGTGGTTCTCAACCTTTTTAATGCCGCGACTCCCAACCGGTCGTAAGTCGAGGACTAAACCGGTCGTAAGTCGAGGACTAAACCGGTCGTAAGTCGAGGACTACCCAACTGGTCATAAGTCAAGGACTTTCCCTGCCTGGGAGCACCGCACATGCGTGGTGCCGCCCCCTGCGCCGGCCGAGGCATAGCTGGCAAGCAGCAGAGACGGAGCAGGCTGACCACCGGCTAGGCCACCAACTGGCCCAGCCCAAGGGAGGTAAGGCACCCGCCGGAAAAGGGGAAAAAATGGCAGACAGCCTTGTTTGGCGACCCCCATGAAATGGTCAATCGACCCCAAATGGGGTCGCGACCCATAGGTTAAGAACCGTTGTTCTAAAGCTTATTTCTTTCAGTAAATCTTAACAATATGGAGTTGACAGGATCAGTTTATGCGTGATCATAGAGGTGTATCTTGGTGTCCATTGCAATTTCCACACTGGCACTGATGATGTTACTTAGTTGGGTCATGAAAAGTCTGCAAGAAAACAAGCAAGCTTAGAGAGCCCCAAGAAACCCTCATGTCAACCCTGAGCTACAAATATTCATTAGCAATTTCCCGAAGAAAGTTAAGAGGATGCTAGCCAGATTCCAACGAGAGGATGGTAATGTGCAGAAGTTTTTTTTTTTTACGCACATGTTCTATAGTTAGATCTCTGAAGAAACCAAAATTTGCAATTTTGGTACCCTAACATTCTTACTTGATTTTTTTTTTCCTGGGCTTTTTAAATTGCAACAAATTTCATTTGTCTTTTCCTTCCTCAGCTATATCCTTTTGAGATGGGTAAGCAACATGCTGAGAAACATCTGTTGTGTCAATACCACATTGCATGTATGGAATCAAGGGTGTAATTATATGGTGGGATAATCTATATATATGTATGTGTATATTGTTGTTAGTTGCGAAGTTGTGTCTGACCCATCGCGACCCCATGGACAACGTTCCTCCAGGCCTTCATGTCCTCTACCATCTTCTGGAGTCCATTTAAGCTCACGCCTACTGCTTCAGTGACTCCATCCAGCCACCTCATTCTCTGTCGTCCCCTTCTTCTATTGCCCTAAATCTTTCCCAGCATTAGGCTCTTCTCCAGTGAGTCCTTCCTTCTCATTAGGTGGCCAAAGTACTTGAGTTTCAACTTCAGGATCTGGCCTTCTAAAGAGCAGTCACACACACATACACACACGCACACACACATATATATATATGAGAAGGGAGGAATAGAATTAGGCAATCTTTTGTTCAGCGTGACGTTCTGGTGAATTGGCTAGTGTGACTAAATCTTCTGGATTAATGGAGTTGTAGTTGAACCTATCAGATCTCAAGTTGAGTAAAGGATGGTTTTGAAACGTAGGGACGATTGGATTATGAGAATAATTATATGGAGTCCCAATCTACTGAAATACATTTCAGGACAGAAAAAAGAAATAACAATAAAGGGAAGAAGAGAAGAAAGGAAGTTCTAAGCCTCTTTATAAATGGGCCTTGTTAAGAATACAAAGCCTCAGCTTTTAAACTGTGTTCTGAAAAATATCTGGTGTCCCTGTTATTTTTCTTCTTCTTCTTCCTCCTGGCTTTCAGTGATCAGTCTTTAGCGCTTTCTAATCTAGACTTGTTGACATAAAAGCTATGTTGACAAAGTAACCTTTTGGAATTGGCAAAGGACCAGGTGGATCAAACTGATAAGGAATAAAATGTGGGCTCTGAGTCGGTCTTCTGTAGGACTTATGGAGTAAATTGGCCTGCAATGAGTAGATACAGTAGTGGTAAGAGCCAGAACTGGTTGTAAGTCTCATTTTTTCAGCACCGTTGGTACTTTGAACATTTGCTGAACAAATGATTGTAACTTGAGGACTACCTATAAAGATTTGATTAATTCAGAACTTTTAACAGAATGACAGAGCTGGAAGGGACCTTGGAGGTCTTCTAGTCCAGCCCCCCTACTCAGGCAGGAAACCCTATAGCATTTAAGACAAATGGCTGTCCAGCCTCTTCTTAAAACCCTCCAGCGATGAAGCACCTACAATTTCTGAAGGCAAGCAGTTCAATTAGTTAACTGTTCTCACTGTTAGGAAATTTCTCCTTAATTTCAGGTTGCTTTTCTCCTTGACTAGTTTCTATCCGTTGCTTCTTGTTTTGCCTTCAGCAGCTTTGGAGAGCAGCTTGACTCCCTCTTCTTTGGGGCAACTCCTCAAATGCTGAAATACTGCTTGTCATGTCAATCCTTGTCCTTCTCTTCATTAAACTAGACGTGCCCCAATTCAACTGGGTCCTGTGCAATGCCAGCTTTGAACACTGGAAGAGGCATCTGGCTGGGGAAGGCTGTGATGAGGTTGGATTTAGGACCCTAATGGAGCCTAACATTTCTGTTGCTAAGCGAGATAGCCGTTTAGTGAGCTTTGCCCCATTTTACGACTTTTCCTGCCACATGTGTAAAGCGAACCACAGCAGTTCTTAAATTAGCAACACGGTTGTTAAGTAAGTCCGGTCGTGAAGTGAATCTGGCCTCCCCCATTGATTTTTGCTTGTTGGAGGGTTGCAAAAAGGGGATCACACAACCCCGGGACACCACAGCCGTCATAAATATGAGTCAGTTGCCAGGCGTCTGAATTTTGATCAGGTGACCGAGGGGAGGCTGCAACGGTTTAAAGTGTGAAAAGTCGTAAGTCGCTTTTTTTCAGTGCCAATGTAACTTTGAACAGTTGCTAAATGAACGGTTGTAAGTCGAGAACTACCTGTATATACAGTAGTGGCCAAAAACTATGGAAACCGTTTGGGAAAAGTGTACCGTAGAAATGCCACCTTGGGTTAAGTTTCCACCAATTTTTCCTCCAATTTCTTTATAACTGTAGCCTTGTTCACTTGATAATACTATTTTACATCGCTTTCTGGGTGACCGGCCAACTCTTTGCACCATTTCTTTAATTTTATTACGTTTTGCAAGCTCACTAAATGAAAGAACACAAAAAAACCCAACCAACTTGATAGCCATCACATAACACACTGACACATGTCCTCTTCTCAGCTTCAATACATGATATCAATAACTGAATCCTACTGTGATCTGATTGGCTCATTGCCAAAACAAGGTAACACCCGATTGGCTCTCTAAACACTCCTGCTCATTGGCTACAATCCGATGAAGGAAAGCTATCTGAGATCAACTTAAGCAAGTTGTGCTTCTTTTTCCTGGTTATTTGGCTATAACTTTTCATAGAATACAGTACAGAGAATTGAACAAACGTTGTTGCATTACGTTCTTGATTAAATTATCTTTCCATTGATATGTAATTTTAATGGTATTACTTCAAAAAGAAGTGGTGTTATTAGCCGTCAAACCTCAAATGTACACTATTCCCAAAAGGATTCCACAATTTTGGCCACTGCTGTAAGTGGCATTTGAACGGAGGACATATTCCTAAAATGGGGGAGGGGCAGTGCTTTTTTTTTCTTAAAAAAAAAAAGGTGCCGGAACTCACACACGTCATACAACCCACCTTGCCTACCCTACAAGGTTCCATCCAAAAAAGGTGCCGGAAGTCCGTTCTGGGCGTTCTATGAGGGGAAAAAAATCCCTGGGGAGGGGCATTCATTCCTTACATCAATTTCTACCCTAGCTTACTGCACTGACACCTCTTGATTTAAAATAGATTCCACGCCATCCCCAGTCAGTCTCGTAACTTGACACGTACAGTATTTTAACATTTTTACTATACTTTCTCTTAACGGCCCCCTCCCCCCATCCCTTTATTTTTCTCCTGGAGGTAAAAAGAAGTAAAATGGGTCCTGCCCGGCAGTATAAATGCCACCTGCAGAGATGACTAAGGGGGAAAAAAAAGAAGGAAAGGCAACGGGCCAAAGAAGTGGAGGAGTTGGAGAAGGGGTTTTTATCAACAGACAGGAACCGACAAGGAAACCCAACGATGCTTTTTCAGGAGGCAACTGGAGTTTTGTTTTTCTTTGAAGACGTTTCCCTTCTCATCCAAGAAGCTTCTTCAGCTCTGACCGGATGGTGGGGACTGGAAGGATTTATACCGCTTGAAGACAGCTGGTCGTTTGCCTTCTTTTAGAGCAGGGGTGTCAAACTCAATTTCACTGAGGGCCGCATCAGCATTGTGGTTGTCCTAGGGGGGGTGGGTAGGTGTGGCCAGGGTGGGCACAACCTACTGGGTGGGCGTGGCTGGAGTGGGTGTGGCCTACTGGGTGGGCATGGCCAGCTCTACATCATTCGCGTCAAGGGTGCCTGTGGGGGCCTTGGCAGGAATGGGACAGATCTGAGGGTCTCTGGCAGAAGGGGGTGGGACCAGGGCAAGTGCCAAGGCATGGTCCACTGGAGGAGCCTGATGAAGCCCCTTCCCCGGAGCCCATCAAGCCAGATATGTGAAGTAGGCAAGGGCCATTTGCTGGCCACTTCCAGGCAATGGTGCATTTCTTCATTCCTCACAAAGGGGGACACCTCCCCAGCATGCACCCAGGGGGCGGGGCTGACACGGCAGGGCTGATTCCTCGCTGTTTCCAGACGGTCTTGTGGAGCTAAGACTGAATGTGTTTCAGCATAAATGGCCACCACAAAATTGTACATTGGCTCCCGGCTAGCCTGGGCCAGGGCCAAGGCAGTGGGGGCCGTTCCCTCACTGTTTCCAGGATGGCTTCGCGGGCCACATGAAACCACGTCGTGGGCTGCATCCGGCCCCCGGGCCTTGTGTTTGACATGTCTGTTTTAGAGAGTCGTTGAAGCCACTTGGAGGCTGATCTGTGTCCTCAGGGTCACTTGAATAGTGCAAATAGATTTGGAGCCTTCTTGGAACTGTTGAAAGGACTGTGTTGTAGACTGGACATAGGTAGTGTCGTGTCCCTCCCCCTCTGTTGAGAGAGAGCTGTTCAATTTTGACATAGATGACCTCTTTGACCCTTCTTTCAAACCAGCCATCCTCTCTGTCCAGAATGTCCACATTCTCTCTATCCAAAGTCCATATTCTCAGGTGACCCTGGCAACACAGAAGCTAAAGAAGCTTCTGGGATGAGAAGCGAAATATTTTCAAAGAAAAACAAGGAAGTCCAGTTGCCTCGTGAAAAAAAGCACTTCCGGGACAACCCTGACTTGGATGACTGAGAATCTCCAGAGACAGCCGATGAGGAAAGGAAGTCCAGCTGCAAGAGAAGCCAACTGGGGAATTGCAAAGGGATCAAAATCCTCAAACAAACTTTCCTTTTTTTGGTCATTTTAAAAGGGATTTAGGAGGCAAACTAGTGACCTTAAGCCACAAGGCATTGTTAGATACGTTGCTGCATTGATTTACAAAGTGATAGACATCCTTGTTTATTAAAGTTACTTACCGTACTTTCCGGCATATAAGACGACTTTTGAAAGCGTTGAAATCGGCGCCAAAGTCGGGGGTCGTCTTATACGCCGAGTCGTCTTATATGCCGGAAATAACGGTAGTTTCCGGTGTATAAGACGACTTTCTAGGCATGCGACTCGGTGCCGAAGTCGGGGGTCGTCTTATACGCCGGGTCACCTTATACGCCGGAATATACGGTACATATGAGCCTGTTCAGTTGTCTTCCCAGTTTTGGTTAAATCAGTTTCCCAGCATCTCGGGATTCCTTTGCTTCAATCTGAAGACTCTTTAAAAGACTCTTAGAAACTGCGTGCAATTTATTTGCCCTGTCACATAACTGGCACCAATTGTCTGCCATTTTGCAATTGGGCCACTAGTCTGTATTCTGCAGAATACAGAGCGGAACATGCCTTATTTATTTATTTTTAATTTTCTTGTCTTTCAGGACAGAATAATCAATTTTGCAGTTGGGATCGTAGCTTCCTTGTTGCTTATAGTAAGTATTCCACTTAGCCCTGCAAGCCTAATTCCAGAAGTTGGAAGGTCTTTGGCTTTTAGGAGGTTTTAATCAGTACCAGAATGTTTCTGATCAGGTTTATCTTTTAGCAGCCAGTAAGGATCTGTTAATTCAATATGTTTTTCCAGGGAGTAGCAAAACATTCATTTCGTCCATTCTAATACCTTTTATAAGGGTGTGGACATTTTGGGATTTTTTTTTTCTCTTCAAAACCTTCCGTTTATTTTCTGCAAACACCGATACTTCCATTTTCTGTTTATAAATATTTGATTTATGTATTGCAGTTAAGCACACAGATCAGACCACTTTAATAGAGTGAGTGGCTGGTGGGGGCACTCTGAATTGGTAATCTCTGCCTTTAGACTGCCAAAGCAGCCAAATTTGGCTACAGCATGCTCAGTTGTTAGAGCAAGTTAACTTTCCATTGGGAAATTAAAACATGATTGGAGAAAGATTAGAATAGGCTGTTCGCTTGGTTGCCAACATGAAGAAGAACATGGATATAATGTCCCATCAGAGTTACTTGCTAAGAAGTTATGAATCCAGGAGATTCAGAACAAAATCTCCAGATGTGTGGATTTTTCCAGCCCTCCTTTAAAGATTTCTTAATTTGCAATGCTTTGTTACCAGTCTCAGTGTTAAAACTTTTTGAGGTTTCATCATTGTATGAATGAGTTGGTTCTCCCTTCTGATTTACTGTCAGGTTCTTCTCACTTTTTCATGAGTTGTCCTTTTTCCTCCCTAAACATCTGAACATACTAGATTTTTCTCACTGTAAATTGTTTTCTAGCCCTTGCTAATTTTAGTTTTCTCTTGTGTTTTACAAAGCTCCAGAAGTAAGCATCGTTAAAATGCAGATAATTAACAATGCCCTCTGGGTATGGGTGAAGTGCCAGCTGAACTTTTAGCACTGTTTATTATAAGTACTGAGAGTTGGGCAGGTGATTAAGAGAACTTTTAGATCACGGATTTCAAAACAAATGCAGCTAAAGCCCCTGCGGACTGCTCAAATTAATATTCTCTAATTTGGAATTTTTCCCCCCTCAGCCTCAACAGGTATAGTAGCACCTGGCTGACCTGATCTGACCTTGGAAACCAAGCAAGATCAGGCCTAATATTTCCACGGGAGATTTCTGGAAGTATAGGCTAGACCAGTGGTTCTCAACCTTTTTAATGCCGTGACCCCCAACCGGTCGTAAATCGAGGACTACTCAACCGGTCGTAAGTCGAGGACTACTCAACTGGTGCAGCACCGTTTGCAGAATGGGACTTTTGGCAGGCTCATCAGGGCAGAGACAGCCTGGACAATTCCTATTGGCTTTTGAAAGCCAATAGAATTAGACTCTATTCAAGAGAGTCTATTCTATTGGCTTTCAAAAGCCAATAGAACAAAAGGGAGTAGCACAGCTAAGGAAAAGGGGAAAAAATGGCGGACTGCGTTGTTTGGCGACCCCCATGAAATGGTCGTTCGACCCCAAATGGGGTCCCGACCCACAGGTTGAGAACCACTGGGCTAGACCGAAACGTAAAATCAGAAACATATGTTGTCCTCTTGGGAAAAAAAAGAAAAGTCAAGAAAACGATAGGGACCCTGTCCGTGAAATCTTCAGGCAGTCGAACACAACCAACTGTGGTCTTCAACACACCCAAAGTTCAGGGATGAAGCAGCTGTATTGTGCTTATTCAGCGAGAAGAGGGCTAACAGGACCATCGTGCTATTGACATCTTGATTCTCCAAAGGAACCGAAGGATGATCAGAAGATCTCAGTAGAGTTTAAAAGTGGAGAATTGATGGGTCCACCGACTTTCCCTTAGCTAGCCGTTGCGTCAGTACCACAGAGAGTCCTTGACTTACAACCATTGGTTTAGCAGCCATTCGAAGTTACAACAGCACTGAAAACAGTAACTTATGACTGATACTCACACTTACTACCTTTGCAGCCTCCCCACAATCAAAATTTGGGTGCCTAGCAACCAGCATGCATTTACGATGACTGCAGCATCCTGGGGTTAAGTTTGTGACCTCGTGGGAGGGGGGCTTCTATCAATCAAAAGCAAGGGGGGGGGTCACTTAAGGACCACACAGTTCGCTTAAGAGCTGCAGTGATTTACTTAACAACCACGGCGAAAAGGGTCAGAGAATTGGCTCCCTTTACTATCGCCTTACTTAGCAACAGAAAATTTTGTTCCAGATGTGGCCGTACTGCCAGCCAAGGTCCAGCTGTAAGGAAAGCTAGGAGGAAGGTAGAGAACTTACAAACGGTGGGATCCAACGGAGGTCTGCGTTTGCCCTGGGTGAAAATTGGCCCTGAAAAACAACACTTTAGCCATCTATTTCAACAATGGCTGTTTCTTTTCACTCACCTTCCCTCATCCGAGTGTCAGGTAGCTGGCCAACACGTCTGAACTTGCGTGACTGATTCCCCAAGCTAGGCAGAAACATTAAATTCCAGGGTGTTGCGTCAAAACGTAATGGTAAAGAATAGCTATGCTAGCTTGATCAAACTGCATTCCGACTAATTTATAGTTTTATCTTGGATTGAAACCCTTAAGGATAATCACATTCCACAAAAGTTTGTTTTCTATGAAGATAATGCCTGAATTTACTCTTTTTCCCTTTCTCTTTCCTTTTTCTTTCTTTTCCTTCGTTCCTTCCTTCTTTTTTCTTTCTTTTTCATCTCTTTCTCTCCGCAGGTCACTTTAATCAGTGCTTTCATCTTTCCTCACCTACCTCCAAAACCAGTGAATATATTTTTTGCTTTCTGCATCTCCCTGAGTTGCGTTTCGGCTGGCATTCTTGTAAGTAGTGTGTTTACTTTTGTGAAGATTAAGCAGAACTTACTCAGATTAGGGGAACAATAGTGCATGCTACCAGTTGTAAAAATATTGCAAGGCCCAAAGTAAACAGGGACTGAAGTCCACAAAGGATGTCTTAATTATTTGCACTAGCTAGCAAGCATGGGCCCCAAGCCAGGTTTTTTTAGACTACCATGTAATGACAGCTTTGTCTAAATTTTAGAATTCCCACTTTTGGAAAAATGAAAGGGCCCCAAACTGTCTTCCTGCAAACCCTTCTAAAAGTTTCATGGATACCCACAGGGTGAAATAATGAAATACAGGGATATTTTCAACTGAACTTTTAATGAGATTTTGATTTTGTCTTGGCCAGGCTCACTTTGAGGAGTGTGGCCATTATCCCATAGCGTGTACCTCTGATCAACATCATCACCCAAGGAAATGACACATGTCAAAGCAGATGCCTACAAGGATTGTGATTATGAAAAAAATACGGCCTACTCTTTTGGGGTCTTTGATAGCACACTCCTACACCTCCCATTAGAAGCAAGTCCACTGAGTTCAGTTCCCATCACCAACTAGCTCAGGTGACCCATAGTCTTGGTCAATCTTCTTGGAGGAGAACATCAACCCTAGAAATATCTCGAGAGATGATTAAGGGTTCTTCTAATGCGACGATGGCGTCCGTCTCCTCTTACGTTTTGTTCCCCCTTCTCTTCTGCCTCCAGATCTATTGGTATCGACAAGGAGACCTTGAGCCTAAATTTAGGAACCTGATCTACTACATTTTGTTCTCAATCATTATGCTTTGTATATGTGCCAACCTCTACTTCCATGAAGTGGGGAAATAAACTCTCCTAGGACAAAGGTTGCAACGCATCCAGATGGTCTGAGGCAGCGTTTCCAGATGTGCTTTCTGAAGAGGACTGCTTCCAAAACGTCACCAGAACAGATGTTGGAAGGAAGGCCTTCAAGGTCCACAGAGGTGTATTTTAATGGTTCTTCTTTCTGGTGCGGTGAAGTAGTGCAATATGATAGAGCATCTGCTTTAGGGGCGGGTGGGGGTGAGCCACAGAATCGCTATTAGTGCACTTAAAGAACATTCCAGCTGTACGCTTGTGTTTTTCAGAGTGGCGCACCTTTTTTTCCCATTGTGAAAAAAAAAACACGGCCTTTTTTTTATTACACTGTACAAAAAAACTGCAGCACTGCAAATGTCTATACTACATTATAAATAAAAAGGCATCTACTATTACAGAAGAGAAACAGTTTCTCACTTGTATTAAACTGGGCACTGCTTCATTTCCGTTTCTTCCCAAAGCCACCGGCCGTCGCGTCAACTACAAATTCATTGTACACGAACAAAGCCACTTCACTTCGGCAGGAAGCTGATAATTACAGAAGTCAATACTGATTTTGAATTGTTTTTGTTTTTACACCGCCTTCGTAATAGAGAGCCAGGTTGCCTGCCCAGGTTACACCGAATTTCAGCTTCGTGTTTCGGTGTGCAGCGCCTTGCCCGTAGATGGAGGACTCAAAGTCATCCATTGCTCAGCTCATTCAGATGAACATTTCTGAAAAGTCTCCTCCGAGCTGGGTTCTTTGGCCAAGGTGGCATTTAGCTTCTGTAATTGATTTTTGAATGAACACGAGAAGGTCTTCTCGGGGTTTAAACCGACTCCTAAATTTACTGCAGCTTGAAAGTCTTCATGCTACACTTCGGGGTTCTAATTGTAGTATTTAAGAATTGCGTCTGATCGTTCGGGCGCAATATCCCTTGCCAGCAACAGCTTCTTTAGTTTCAAGGAAGACCTTGACCCAGCAGTGCTTTTCTGCTGCTTAGACTGGAACCATTAGAAAAAAATAAAGCTTTTCTAATGTACCTTCTTGCTCTCTCTCTCTTGGTAGTTACGACACTGTAACTATATTCTATCCTGAAACAGGAGGATCGGTGCAAATTCTAAATGGTTTTACCTCTGTCCACACGCTCATTTACCACTGTCAGTAGCCTAAAGCATTGAATTTCCTCACTGTCTAACACAAGACTTCTTGAATGTAGAAACTGGGGGAGGGGCAGCTGTGACTGTCACCGTGTGAGATCAGAAGAGAGCAAAAGGTTCCTTTGGTTGAGTCCTGCCAGGCTGATGCTCCTTTGACCAACGGAGGAGTTACAGACTGGGAACATCCTCAGTGACAGCTTACTAAGTTCTCCATGCCCTTGGAGTCTTCAGAACTAGGGCTATCCAAAGAAGAGCCGATAATGTGAGAATTCTCTCCGTGGTGTTGTAAGATAGGATCTAGGGAGAACCAAGATACAGCAGGTTGTTACACAGATACAGCTTTTGTCTCCTGTGCTGGCTAACATGCGAGGTATAACACGTTTTAAGGTTAGCTTCCTTAACCTTAACCTGAAATAGCTAGGATTGGAACCATTGGGAAAATGCTGCTCAGAATAGAAATAGTCTTGTTAATTAACCCACCACCCTCAGAATACCAGAAAGGCACACTCAGACTCAGGTCAAAGTTCATGACACAGGAACAACTCCAAACAAAAGCTCAAGAAGGTATAAAAACCCACTCCCTACTACATGTGCTCTCTCTTTTCTTCCAGAGTCATCTTTCTGTCTGGCTCTCCTTTTCAATAAACCACAACCTTCTTTCTAAAGCAGTTGCCATGTTGCTTCTTCCCGGCTTGGGCTGGACCCTGATGAAGATCTTTCTTTCAACACGAGGGTTTCATAAAGTGATGGTGATGGTTGCACTTTTTAAAAACCATTCCTGGTGAACTTTAGGGACTCTGGTGGCTGGAAGGCCACAATTTTTCTTAACCCGAATGTAAGAATGGACACCGGGTTGAGATTCTATGACGGAATTTCATGCTTCAAAATGGTTCTGGATGCTCTCTTTTAAAATCAGTAGAAAAAGTCTTGTTTGGACTTCGGTGCAAGCTTGAAACTCCTTTGCTAGAAGCGCAGAATCTTCAAAATGGTCCTTGCAAGGTTCAGATGCTCTCTAGACCCCATTCCTCTTCACCAAAAGTTCAATACAGCTAGTCCTCGACTTACAACAGTTGATTTAGTGACTTTCAAAATTACAAGGGCACTGAAAAAAAGTGGCTTATGCCTGTTTTCCACAATTATGATCACTGCAGCATTCAAAAACTTGACTCATATTTATGATGGCTTGCGGTGTCCCAGAGGGTCACGTGATCCCCTTTTGCGACCTTCTGCCAAGTACAATCAATGGGGAAGCTGGTTTCACTCAACAATCGTGTTCCGAACTTAACAACTTCAGTGATTCACATATCCATTTTGGCATGAAAAGTCGTAAAATGGGCAAAACAATGAATTTCTCGCTTGGCGACATCCATTTTGGGCTCAATTGTGGTGGTAAGTTGACGACTACCTGTACTGAGGCAGAAGGAGGCACAAAACTCAGAAAAAACCAAGTCTCAGCTATTTTGCATGCTTCAGTCAGGAGCAAGCAAGCTCTGAAGCTCCCCAAAATGCCGCTTAACGCTAAACAAGCAAAATAGAGAGGAAAGAGGAGGAGAAAGGTGTATTGGAGATGTTCACCATCTTAACCTGTTTGTAAACACGATAAAGGAGAGGATACAAAAATAAAAAAAAGGACCCCCCAAACCGAGTTCAGATTTAGGAGCGTCTGTTACCTGTTAAGGTTGTCAGAGGCAGCACTGATTCGCCGTCTATATCATCGGATGTCTGGATAAAACTTTGGGGAGAAGGCACAATGAGAACAGCTCCATCCATGGCGGACTGTTCCCCTCGTTCTTCGGCTGTGGGAGAACCCAGATCCTGCATAACAACCGACAACAACTTTGCTAAGCCATTTCGGCAGAATTTTTAAAGAAGGGTTTCAAAAAAATCCACCACCCCAAATCAAAGTTGAGCGACACTTCTTGCTATAGGCCAGTGATGGCGAACTTTTAGAGACCGAGTGCCCAAAAACCGCCTCGCCCCTGCCCTGCCCTGCCTCTCCTGCCCGCAGGGCCACCCACCACCTCCATGGCCCGCCACAGTTCTCCCAGGCATCCCAGCAGCGTCATGGCCACACCCTCTGTCCACACCCTGCAGCATCTGTACGCATGGGGTGCGAGGGCGGAGTCTTGTCCCCATTGCCATGTCCTTGGCTCCGCTTCTGGTGAGGAAGGGGCCACAGGGGGGGGCGGGCTGGGGCAACGATGTGCATGCCCACAGAGAGGCCTCTGAATGCGGCCTCTGGCACCCGTGCCATAGGTTCGCCACCATTGCTATAGGCAAATTCCTGCAAATAGAAGTTGTATCCACAACGTTAAGAGACAAAGCATGATGGCTATTAATAACTTAATATAATAACACCTAACTCCCACAGCACTGTCTGGTGCCTAAAAATATTTACCCATGTAGTAGGGCTATATTGCTATTATCCTTCTCGTCTTCTCATCTTTCCTACTACCTTCTCCTGTTGGAATCTTATGATTTATCACTTGTTGTTTGTATCTTATGATTCATGACTTATGATCTGTGACTTATCACTTAGTTGTACATGCGTACATTGAGAGCTTCTGGAGACAAATTCCTTGTGTGTCCACTCACACTTGGCCAAATAAAGAATTCTATAAAGAATTCTAACTGCTTGGTAGGAACATAGACAAGCATCGGCTTTTTTAATGCACGGCAGAGATCAACTAGTCAAGGAGCTGAACTAAATAAGAGCAATTTGATTTTCTTACTTTTCTAACATTTAACGTCAGCTTCACATTTCTGCCAGATTTGGAGAACCTTTTTTTCTGGCTTCAGAAACATCAGCTCTGAGGGTTACAAGTGGGTTTTCTTTTTGTAAAGTTTTATTCATTTTTCATACAATTCAGTAGTATTTATTTAACAAATGTGTTGTCTGAGTTTATCATTCACTAAAACAAATTTAATTCCTAATCCTTTATTCTTTCCTCCAGCCATTGATAAAATAAGTGCCAAGTTTGAAAATATTGTTTCTTCTTTTTCCTCAAAGTAAGTTTGTCCATTTCTGCACATTCTAGTATTTTTTAAATTATTTCTTCTCCTGGTGGTGTTTCATTTTTCCAGTATTGTGCAAATATGATCCTTGCCGCTGTTATCACATGTAAAATCAGGTATGCACTTTGTTTATCAATCTTTTCTGGCATTATACCTAATAAAAAAAGTTCAGGTTTAAAATCTACATGATTTTTCAACATCTTTTCTAGCCAAGTATGTATTTTTATCCAATACCTCTTTGCTTTAACACAAGTCCACCATACATGATAATAAGTGCCTGACTTGTGTTTGCATTTCCAACATCTGATGTATCTTTAAACATTTTTGCTAACCTTGCTGGTGGCAAATACCATCTATAAAACATTTTATATAGGCTTTGTCTGTAAGAAGTTGACATTGTCAATTTATAATTTCTTCCCCAAACGTTGTGCCATTTTTCTAAATCTATACTGACGAGTGGGTTTTCTTACCTCGGAAACGTACGTGGTGGCTAAATCTGACGGACGACTTTCTTCCGGCTTGAGATCCGAATTCAGAACGTCGACTCCTGCTCTTCCCATGAGCTCCGGGCTGTTTCGGCTGCCAAATTTGGAGGAGTTGACTGCGCTGAAAGCAGAGGGCTCCTCCCCTGAAAGTTTGGTGGGGTGGAGGTCAGCTGGAAAAGAGTCCGTTTTCAGGGAGGTTGGCGTGCCCGCCAAATCGACAGGCTGCATGCTCGAATGGACGCTTAGTTCTGCCTGGCTGATGGGTGGAGAAATGTCTTCGGCTGCCACGGTGCGGATGACGACACTTGGCGTGTGACACTGCACGGTGACGTTCTCTGTTGTGTTCAGCAGGTGCTCGGGCTGTGGGAAAGGGTGGTTTGTATTTTGCAACGGTGGCGAAGAAACGCCAAGGCTGCCTTTTTTAACTTCTTTGGCAAGCTGGAGTACTGGCTGCTCAGCGCCAGATTTATTTTTTTTTTAAAAAAGCAAAGGAATATTTGTAGAAGAAAATGGAAACTGGGAATCAGCCACCTCATCTCCCACCTTTGCTCCAAAGGAAGACAATTCTCCCCCCCCCCATTCACCAAGGAAGAAAGGAAAAAAAAAGAAATGCAGATCAAATCAGCTTCCTTTCCTTGTGGATTTGGACTGCCCCCTTCAGCTGAATCTATTCTTGGAGAAACCCCACCGCTCCAGTAAAATGCATGTTTTCATACATGTCTACTTACCTGCCAGAAATGACATGCACACAGACATAAAAAGGCAAAGCACACACAGTAACAAACAGGCACGGACAGAACTGCTGCTGTTGTTCAGTCCCTAAGTCATGTCTAACTCTGCAACCCAATGACCACAGGACGCCAGTCTCCCATGTCCTCCAGTCTCTCCCAGAGTTTGCCAAAATTCGTGTTCATTGTGTTGATGACACCATCTAACCCAGGGGTCCCCAACCTCTGGTCCGTGGACCAGTACTGGGCCACGGCATGCCAGCAACTAGTCTGCACAAACAAGGAAAGCCAAATCCATGGGATGCAGGCAGCACATAAAACCACGCACTCTCCGGTCCGTGGAAAAACCTCTTTCCACAGAACCGGTCCCTGATCTAACCATCTAACCCAGTGGTTCTCAACCTTTTTAATGCCGCGACCCCCAACCGGTCGTAAGTCGAGGACTGCTCAACCGGTCGTAAGTCGAGGACTACTCAACTGGTGCAGCACCGTTTGCAGAATGGGACTTTTGGCGGGCTCAGCAGGGCAGAGACAGCCTGGACAATTCCTATTGGCTTTTGAAAGCCAATAGAATTAGACTCTATTCAGAGAGTCTATTCTATTGGCTTTCAAAAGCCAATAGAATAAAAGGGAGTAGCACAGCTAAGGAAAAGGGGGGAAAAAAATGGCGGACTGTGTTGTTTGGTGACCCCCGTGAAATGGTCGTTCGACCCCAAATGGGGTCCCGACCCACAGGTTGAGAACCAGTTCTCTAGTCAGTGTATGTAAAGTGAAGACCCCCATCAATTAAGTACAGTATTTATCTTGCCAAAGGTGGACTTTAATCAGCAACAGCATCATTATCTGTCATTATCCATTCTCAAGAAGCTTTCCTCTAATTGTTATGTGTAAAAGCTGCCCTTCAGAGTAAACACACAGGAAGAATAAGGAGCCTTGGCCAAGTTGCCTTTTCATGGGACGTCATACCTTGGACATCGTCCCATCTACCCTCCAAGTGTTAGGAGCTGTGCATGAGAACTCCATTCACTTTGTCTGTTACACATTAAAGCACACGGGTCTTTTTCAGGCTTCCGTGTGAACATAAAAATAAGGCATGATTCCTTTAATAAAACAAATCATTAAATAAAACCCCAAATGGGGTCCCGACCCACTGATCTAACCTCTTATCTAACCATCTCATCCTCTGCTGTCCCCTTCTCCCGTTTGCTTTCCATCTTCCCCAACATCAGGCTCTTTTGCAAGGAGTTCTCTCTTCTCATTTGGGAGCCAAAGTGTTTGAGTATTTCAGCTCAAACTATGGAGCTATCTTTGGAGCTATCCCTCCAAAGAAGAGTCAGAATTGATTTCCTTTAAGGACTGACTGATTGGGTCTCCTTGCAGTTGAAGGGACTGTCAAGCGTCTTCTCCAACATGACCGAATTAAGTAGAGACAAACATTAGTAGTTTACAAAATAAGGCACCCTCATTTACAGTGGCATCTACAGAATGGGATAAAGGCAGCCAAGATGATAGGAATGGCCTTGCCATCCAAGCTCTGTCCCTTATGTGTGTTTGTGTGTGTGAGATGTAGAGGTGTATTGTGATGTGACATCTACCTGTATTTTAGTTGCTTCTGCCACCCGTGATTTCCAAATTCACTGATCTATGTACCCCAACCGTTTCCAAGTCAGACCATTTTTACTACACAATCCTTCCCAAGCAACGTTAATCTTCCATGCTGTGCAGGGACTCATTTGCATGTAATCTTGTGCATTTCCTGCCGTTTCCTTTATTTTCAAAAACTTTTCCGAGTCTTCTCAGTGAATGCAAAGTGGCTAACTCTATTGACAGATAATTATTGGGGACAAAAGGTTTGCCTCCCTACTGGGTAAATACAGTTTTGTGACTTTATAAAGAATGATAATGACGATGCCACTATTTCAGGCAGAAATAATACATCTTAGTAGTACAGTTAATGGCGTTTCTTTCAATGAAATGGTACACTCCACAGAATGTCTAAGGCAGTGGTGGCGAACCTATGGCACAAGTGCCAGAGACAGCACTCGGAGCCCTCTCTGTGGGCACACGTGCCGTTGCCCCAGCCTCGCCTCCCCCTGTGACCCCCTCCTCTCCAGCAGCCCCCCCTGCAGGACAGTCGCCCTCGAGCATGACCCACACGGAACAGCGCAGCCAAGGACATGGGAGCCAGGAAGCGTAGACAAGACTTTGCCCTCACACCCCATCATGCAGTTGATGCTGCAGGGTGCGGGCAGAGGGTGTGGCCGCCATAGCGCTGCTGGGCTGCCTGGGCGATCTGTGGCGAGCCCTGGAGGCGGTGAGTGGTCCTGTGGGCAGGCGGGGCGGGGGATGGCGGGGCAGGGGGGGTGGAGTGGGGGCGGGGCCAGGTTTTGGGCACTCGGTCTCTAAAAGGTTCGCCATCACTGGTCTAAGGTCAGATTTGAACATGCATCCATTCCTTGGATCTAAACAAGGAACACTGCGGCATTTCACTAATTAAATAGCTAAATACAAGAACACAGTTCTGTTTATTCAGGTTTTGCGTTCATGGATTTAATACCTGAAACCATGGGAAATTCATGGATTTCAACCCAAAATGCGCTGAAATATATTAAAAAGATGAAGGGACAATAATGGTGTATAACTTCCACCCATCAAGAATGTCTTAATTCAGAATTATAAGCATCATGTTTCATTGCGCCGTTTTATATTTACGGATTTGTCACGTCCTTTGAGAACATTACAAAGATGCTTTCCCCAGGTTGGTGAGGAATACAGTGGTGGCCAAAATTGTGGAAATCTCTTGGGAAAAGTGTATTTTTGAGGTTTGATGGCTAATAACCCTTTTTTGGGGAGTAGTACCATAAAATTATGTATCAATGGAAAGATAATTTAATCAAGAATGTAATGCAGCAAAATTTGTTCAATTATCTGTACTGTATTCTATGAAAAGTTATAGCCAAATAACCAGAAAAAGGAAGCACAACTTGCTCAGGTTGACATCAGATAGCTTTCCTTCATCTAATTGTAGCCAATGAGCATGAGTGTTTAGAGAGCCAATCGGGTGTCATCTAGTTTTGGCTATGAGCCAATCAGATCACGGTAGGATTCAGTGATTGATGTCATGTATTGAAGCTGAGAGGAGGATATTTGTCAGTGTGTTATGTGATTGCTATCAAGTTGGTTGGGTTTTTTTTGTGTTCTTTCATTTAGCGAGCTTGTAAAACATAATAAAATTAAAGTAATGGTGCAAAGAGTTGACAGGTCGCCCAGAAAGCGATGTAAAATAGTATTATTAAGTAAACAAGGCTACAGTTATAAAGATATTAGAAGAAAAATGGGTGGAAACTTAACCAAAGGTGGTATTTCTACTGTACATTTTCCCCAAAAGGTTTCCACAATTTTGGCCACTACTATATATTGGCTTCTGTTAAGAGCTGGAATGTTGCCCAGTGGCCAATGTGACTCTCTGCCAAGGCTGTACTTTGGGCCAATCACCAGGAGATGTGGAGTTCTAGTCCCGCCTTAGCCACGAAAGCCAGCTGGGTGACTTTGGGCCAATCACCAGGAGATGCGGAGTTCTAGTCCCGCCTTAGCCACGAAAGCCAGCTGGGTGACTTTGGGCCAATCACCAGGAGACGGAGAGTTCTAGTTCCTCCTTAGCCATGAAAACCAGTTGGTGAATCTGGGCCAATCACCAGGAGACGGAGAGTTCTAATCCCGCCTTAGCCATGAAAACCAGTTGGTGAATCTGGGCCAATCACCAAGAGACGGTGAGTTCTAGTCCCGCCTCATGCATGAAAGCTAGTTGGCTAACTTTGGGCTGGTCATTCTTTCTCAGCCCAATCCAACTCACAGGGTCGTTGTGGGGAAAGGAGGAGTAGGAAGGTGTGTTGGATAGGTTGGTTGCCTTGAGCTTTTTGTAAAAAATAATAAAAGGCAGGATATAAACAAACAAGCAAGCTGCAAAGCAAAATGGATGCACCCGGGATGTTCTTCGATACACTGCTAGAAATCGGTCACAGCTAGCCTAACTCACTAACCACAGCTCTTAAGCCACCCACCCTCATCAACCCCACTTCCCAGGCCCCCGTGGTCCACCGTTTTGATACCTACCGACCAGGCATGGACTATGATCTGGTCTGGTGAGGCTGGGGCTGCAGCAGCCGTCAGGGTCACAGTGGGGCTGGTGGTTAGGGTCAAAGGCAGGCCCTGGGATGAGCTGGTCTGGAGTAAGTAGGTGCCTGGAGTTCCAGTTGGTTGTAGATGAAAAGACTAAGAACAGAGGTGAGAACGGAAAGAGAAGTCATCTGTTTAATAGCCATCCCAGCGAAGTTCCTTCCAAGTGAGACATCAAAGAGAAATTGCACTTGACAAGTTAACTGAAACAAAGCATGACAAACTAGGTACTTATACTGCCTACTAGCTGAGGATTCTGGGACTTGTATTCCCAATACATCGGATGACAGAATCAGAATGGGAGATGCTGATGTGGACCCAGGTTCTACTTTTGCATTAGAGTAAGGGTAGGCAACCTTGGCTCTTTTATGACTCGTGGACTTCAATTCCCAGAATTCCTGAGCCAGCCACGCTGAGGGGAAAGGGAGAGGTTTCCAAGCTGAGCCATGCTGGCTCAGGAATTCTGGGAGTTGAAGTCCACGAGTCATAAAGCGGCCTAGGCCTAGGCCAGAGGTAGGCAACCTTGGCTCTTTTATGACTCGTGGACTTCAACTCCCAGAATTCCTGAGCCAGCCATGCTGAGGGGAAAGGGAGAGGTTTCCAAGCCGAGCCATGCTGGCTCAGGAATTCTGGGAGTTGAAGTTTATGAGTCAGAAAGCGGTCTAGGCCTAGGCCAGGGGTAGGCAACCTTGGCTCTTTTATGACTCGTGGACTTCAACTCCCAGAATTCCTGAGCCAGCCATACTGAGGGGAAAGGGAGAGGTTTCCAAGCTGAGCCATGCTGCTCAGGAATTCTGGGAGTTGAAGTCCACGAGTCATAAAAGAGCCAAGGTTGCCTACCCCTGCACTACAGCTTTAAACATATCGGTCAATATCTTTTCACTGCAAAAAAGATATAATCAAGCCAACTCCGTAATACTTACTGGCAGAATCTCAAAAGTCTGCAAAGTTCCACTATTTAATGTAATAGTTTCAGAATCAACGGAAGCAGCAGGGGAATCGGCAGAAGCTACACAAGAAAAAAAACAAAACAAAAACAAAACGGGACCAAAGATTCAAATCAGCAACTAAGTTCTAAGCACAGTAACTGCAAGAGAAATGTAAAACAGAACAGGCACCCAGGTTGTCCAAGCAGGAATAAGGAAAACAACTTTGTACATTCAGAAGCTACTGTTACGAAAGCTTGGAATAGTTTGAACAGGTCTTTGGGAAGACTCCCAGCACAAATTGCTCCATGGGCCGGATTTTGTTAGCTTCGGAAGAATTAAATCGCAGCCCATCGTAAAAGAAGGATCAGCAGTCTGCCTTGGCTAATGGAGCTATCCAAACTATTTGAGTTCCACCCATGGCTCTTTTCCAATTCTCTCTCTGTGCACATCTGTGCAATGCTGTTCTCCACTCAATAAATCTTCAGGGTCCCCAGAAATCAATTCACTAACTACAAAGTAAAAAGGTCAAAGCCACTGTTAAAATCGAACTCCGCTTGGAATAACTTCGTAACCGTATTTGTGTAATCTTGGCAATACGGAAGGCAATGGCGTTACAAATATTAGCAACGGTACCGTGGAAGATAGGACTTTAAAGAAGAAACAAACATTTGCCAGGATTATGTTTGCAACGAATTCATCTCTGGTTCTTCTCTCAGTCTTGGCAAGCCAGAAAGATTCAGTCTAGAACGTCACAAAGTTTTTTGTTTGGTTAGGATCACAGTTAGCATGATCAGGGTTCTTACCCAGTCCTGGTTATCCATCAAGCCATTCTATATTAGTGGCCAAAATTGTGGAAACCTTTTGGGAAAAGTGTATTTTTGAGGTTTGATGACTAATAACACCACTTTTTTTGGAGTAGTACCATAAAATTATATCTCAATGGAAAGATAATTTAATCAAGAATGTAATGCAGCAAAGTTTGTTCAATTATCTGTACTATATTCTATGAAAGGTTATAGCCAAATAACCAGAAAAAGGAAGCACAACTTGTTTAGGTTGATCTCAGGTAGCTTTCCTTCATTGGATTGTAGCCAATGAGCATGAGTGCTTAGAGAGCCAATCAGGTGTCATCTTGTTTTGGCCATGAGCCAATCAGATCACAGTAGGATTCAGTGATTGATGTCATGTATTGAAGCTGAGAGGAGGACATGTGTCAGTGTGTTATGTGATGGCTATCAAGTTGGTTAGGTTTTTTTTGTGTTCTTTCATTTAGTGACCTTGTAAAACATAATAAAATTAAAGCAATGGTGCAAAGAGTTGACTGGTTGCCCAGAAAGCGATGTAAAATAGTATTATTAAATGAACAAGGCTACAGTTATAAAGAAATTGGAAGAAAAATGGGTGGAAATTTAACCAAAGGTACACTTTTCCCAAAAGGTTTCCACAATTTTGGCCACTACTGTAACATCTACCCAGCAGATGCCTTCAAAGAACAAAAGAGGAACCACAACTGTGGTTGTACCTAGGAAAGATTTTGCAGAGAGACCCAGAGAGGTTCAGCAAATCTGAAAAGCCACAGCATAAAATATGCAAGGCTATAAGTTTGCACAGACTAAAAGCAACGGGAGACAGAAGTGCTGAGTGATTCACTGCGGCATTTTTCAGAAAGAATGTATGTTTGCACCACTTCGGCTGGAGAGAAAAGGCAGAAAGGAGAATTGGAATGTCTGCATTCCCAGTATTATATACAGTTGTGGCCGAAATTGTGGAAACCTTTTGGGAAAAATGTACGGTAGAAATGCCACCTTTGGTTAAGTTTCCACCCATTTTTCTTCTAATTTCTTTATAACTGTAGCCTTGTTCACTTAATAATACTATTTTATATCGCTTGCTGGGCGACCGGTCAACTCTTTGCACCACTACTTTAATTTTATTACCTTTTACAAGCTCATTAAATGAAAGGGAAAAAAAACCCAACCAACTTGATAGCGATCACATAACACACTGACAAATGTCCTCCTCTCAGCTTCAATACATGACATCGATCACTGAATCCTACTGTGATTTGATTGGCTCACTGCCAAAACAAGATGACACCCGACTGGGTCTCTAAACACTCATGCTCATTGGCGATAATCAGATGAAGGAAAGCTACCTGAGATCAACCTAACCAAGTTGTGCTTCCTTTTTCTGGTTATTTGGCTGTAACTTTTCATAGAATACAGGACAGATAATTGAACAAACTATGTTGCATTACATGCTCGATTAAATTATCTTTCCATGGATATGTAATTTTATGGTACTACCCCCCCAAAAAAGTGGTGTTATTAGCCATCAAACCTCAAAAGGTTTCCACAGTTTTGGCCACCACTGTACATGGGAAGCATAGAAAAGTTTTATTTGTAGATTCATGTATAGGTAGTCCTTGACTTACAACCCCAACTGAGCCCAAAATTTCCATTGTTAAGGCAGACATTTGTTAAGTGAATTTTGCTCCATTTTACGACCTCCCTTGCCACCTTGTTAAGTGAGTCCCTGCAGTTGTTCAGTTAGTCACACTGTTGTTGAGTGAATCTGGCTTTCCCATCGACTTTGCCTGTCGGAAGGTCGCAAAAGGGGATCACGTGACCCCGGGACACTCTGCAGCCGTCATAAAAATGAGTCAGCGGCCAAGCGTCTTGAGTTTTGATCCCGTGACTCTGGGAATGCTGCAATGCAGTGCGAAAAATGGTCACAAGTCACTTTCCCCCCCCCCCGTGCCACTGTAACTTTCAACGGTCACTAAATGAACTGTCGTAAGTAGAGGACTGTTTGTACGGCCTTTTCTCCATTTTTTCCCCCCCAGCAGAAAACCAGTAAAGTAGATTGGCCTGAAAAATGACCCTTGTCCAGATTACATTTCAAATAGATAAAATACGTATTTTGGATATTATAGTTTGTTATGAAGTGAGATAAGGGAAATGTTGGTTACCCAAAGTCTGAAAATTATAAATATCAATGGTTAAATGGGAATATTGATAAGAAATTAAAAACTGAGCAAAAATTAATAACAGGACATGGATTGTTTGTGAAGATTGAATGTAATTAAGATATATGTATGAGCTAAAAATCTATTGATAAATGTAATAATGATGTTCTTATTCAGTGGTTCTCAACCTGTGGGTCGGGACACCATTTGGGATCGAACGGCCATTTCACGGGGGTCGCCAAACAAGGCTGTCCGCCATTTTTTCCCCTTTTCTTTGGCCACGCCCCTGGCACCCGGTGATGTATAAGTGGTTGGGGGTCACCACAACATGGGGAACTGTATTATGGGGTCGCGGCATTAGAAAGGTTGAGAACCACTGTTCTTATTGATATAATTAAAAATGTACTAACCTGAATATGAGACAGTAAATGTTAAGGGAAAAAGAGAAGAAATATTTGATGTTGTAACCTGAGATTTGCACTAAGATTTTCTTATTGAACTATTGTAACCCAGTCACTGCGTTGCCTTGTAAATATTCAAATGGAAAATTGGAAAATTAATAAGATATTATATATATATTAAAAATGATCCTTGTCCAAAGGGAGCCCCCGTGGCTAAAGACCAACCCCTTCGTCCTGAACCCTCCTTGGCTCTCATTCATTTGCAATGAATGAAAACGTGCAATCCTCGTTCAATGCAACTGCAACCGTGGTTAGCACCATACAAGATAAACCAGTGATATTTGTACTTTATAAATGCTTCTGGTTTACCCCTCTTGAACCGAACACCCCAATGAAAGACGAAACGTGCACCTAGTAAAAACGGAGAGTCCGGCGTGAGTTTTGGTGACTTACAGACGTGGGTGATCTGGAGTGGGATCTGTAAGGATGCCACGGAAGCAGGAGAGCAGACTGAGCTTTCTTCTAAACGGGCCACTCGGATCTGGACGTGCTGAACCCCAGAACCAGAATGAGAATTTGGCAGCCCAGGCAAAGATGTGGCCTCTGGAAGTTGGTGTGCCGGAGCGTTTTTCTGGCTTTCGTGCAGTTGCTTCAGACCTTTTATAAGCACTGGAACAAAAAAGTCATTCAAGGCTGCTGGAAACTAAAATCAAAGTAAACGTCTGTAATAAAAAATAACGGGTACCAAGAGCAATTACAGTAGTGGCCAAAATTGTGGAAACCTTTTGGGAAAAGTGTATTTTTGAGGTTGGATGGCTAATAACACCACTTTTTTTTCGGGAGTAGTACCATAAAATTATATCTCAATGGAAAGATAATTTAATCAAGAATGTAATGCAGCATAGTTTGTTCAATTATCTGTCCTGTATTCTATGAAAAGTTATAGCCAAATAACCAGAAAAAGGAAGCACAACTTGCTTAGTTTGATCTCAGGTAGCTTTCCTTCACCTGATTGTAGCCAATGAGCAGGAGTGTTTAGAGAGCCAATTGGGTGTCATCTTGTTTTAGCAATGAGCCAGTCAGATCACAGTAGGATTCAGTGATCGATGTCATGTATTGAAGCTGAGAGGAGGACATTTGTCAGTGTGTTATGTGATCGCTATCAAGTTGGTTGGGTTTTTTTTCCCTTTCATTTAATGAGCTTGTAAAAGGTAATAAAATTAAAGTAGTGGTGCAAAGAGTTGACCGGTCGCCCAGCAAGCGATGTAAAATAGGATTATTAAGTGAACAAGGCTACAGTTATAAAGAAATTAGAAGAAAAATGGGTGGAAACTTAACCAAAGGTGGCATTTCTACTGTACACTTTTCCCAAAAGGTTTCCACCGTTTTGGCCACTACTGTAGCCTGGCCTAGGTGCCGTCTGCCCGTCTGGGAAGATTCCTGTAAGACAGGCATTGAGCAAGAAAATACTGACTAAACTCCTCACTTGTGGATCTGGCCAACCGGTCCAATAGCAAGCCAAGAATAGAGTTATAAACTTTACCGGGAAATGAAACCTCTTTGTGGTTTGCAATCTGCCTCTTGACGGTCCACCATTTGCTACGAAGCCACTGGGGTGAGCGCACGCTGCTCCAGCCTTCCGCCAGCAAATCCCAATTGATGTCATTTTCATCAGAGACGTCTAGCTCTGCTATTCTGACAGGGTAACGCAGAAAAAGAAATGATTCCTTTTACAAATATTAGCCTTCCCACGGAGCTTTCAAAAAAAAAAAAAAAGATTGGACAATGCATTAAAATGAACAGCAGGAATTATATTTGCACAATACTGGAAGAATGAAGGAACACCAGAAGAAGAAATAATTAAAAAAAAATACTAGACTGTGCCAAAATGGACAGACTTACTTGAAGGTTGAAAGAAAAAGAAGAAACAGAATATTTTCAAACCTGGGACCTATTTTATCAATGGTTAGAGCAGGGGTCGGCAATCTTAAACACTCAAAGAGCCACTTGGACCCATTTCCCAGAGAAAAGAAAACACTGGGAACCGCGCGCGCACGAGGGTGAGGAGCTTGATTGAAGAGTTCAGTTAAAAAGAAATAGAGGCTGCTGTGCATGAGTTCTCTCTCTCTCCCTGACTCCCTCCCTCCCTCTCTCTCTCTTGGCCCCTTTTCTCCCTCTCTCTGATCTTCTGCTCACCTGGCAAGCTGGTTTCATGCTGTCCTCTGACAAGCTGACACACATTCTTATTGGGCTGGCTCTCTCCTGCCCTTGGTCTGCCAGTCCTCTTTCCCCACTCAGTCTGTGTGTGTGTGTGTGTGTGTGTGTGTGTGTGTGTGTGTGTGTGTGTGTGAGAGAGAGAGAGAGAGAGAGAGAGAGAGAGAGCTGCTTCCTGCTTTTTGCTGCTTCCTGCTGAGATGCAGCAAAGGCAGGAGCCCCGCCCAATAAGCTTGTCAGAGGACAGCTTGAGGCTACTCTCTTTTTACACACACACACACACACACACACACACACACACACACACACACAGAGAGAGAGAGAGGGGAAGCGCAAGTGCCTCTCTCTGTCTCTGTCTCTCTCTCTGCAAATGGCGGAGGCTGGGAACCGCAGGAGAAGGCTCAAAGAGCCACATGCGGCTCCAGAGCTGCGGGTTACTGACCCGTGGGTTAGAGAAAAGACTTAGGGATTAGCGATACAAACCTAAGAATGAGGTTGATTTCGTCTTCCTTGGTCCACTCCGTGCCTCCACTCTGCTTCCAGTTGAGGTAGTTCAGCCATTTGGAGCGGCACTGCTTCTCCGACCGGGTGCCCACCCGCTCTGCCACCGCGGCCCAAGAGACTCCCTGCGTGACAGTGTCTCCAGGCTCGGTGCTGGTTAATTCGTGGACCACTTCTGCTAGTCTCTTCTCTTCTTTCTCGGTCCATTTCCCTGAATTGGAAACAATAAAAGCGATGATGTTAATGCAGGGCATGGGGGAGAAAAAACACACCTCCGACTCCAGAGCTGAGCCCCTTATCTTATATTATACTTATTGGGGGAGGAGGTGAGAGCCGTGGTGGGGTTCAAATAATTTAACAACCGGTTCTGTTCATTGTCATCACCAGCGTGATGCGCCTCACACTGTCATTGCTGGCGCAACACTTGTGTTGATGTCAGCACTGGCACGACGTGCAGCGCATTGACATCATCACTGGTGCGACGTGCCTCACAGGTTTAGTGTAAGTGGTTCACCGAACTGAAGAAAAAAATTGGTACTGGTTCTTCTGAACCGATGCAAACTGGCTGAATCCCACCATTGGGTGAGAGGTTCCTATGTCCCCTCCTTTCCCCCTAAAAAACTTTCTGGCTTGTGGATCAGGACCTGCTGTTCAATAGAAGCAGTGACTGAGACCAAAGAGAGTCGGACTGGTCCCCCTTATTTAGTGTCACTGTAACACTGAAGGGTCACTGAATGAATCGATATAACCCGAGGGCTATTTGTACTTTGAACTATGGCTCCCACAATCCCTTGTGGTTAGCCAATCAGGCCAGGGCCAGGGCCCATGGAACTTAAGAGCTGCCAACTCTATCTACTTTACTCTCCTGTTGACAATTTGTAATATGTTGTTGTTGTTAGTTGTGAAGTCGTGTCCGACCCATCGCGACCCCATGGACAGCGTTTCTCCAGGCCTTCCTGTCCTCTGCCATCTTCTGGAGTCCATTTAAGCTCACGCCTATTGCTTCAGTGACTCCATCCAGCCACCTCATTCTCTGTCGTCCCCTTCTTCTCTTGCCCTCCATCTTTCCCAGCATTAGGCTCTTCTCTAGGGAGTCCTTCCTTCTCATTAGGTGGCCAAAGTACTTGAGTTTCAACTTCAGGATATGGTCTTCTAAAGAGCAGTCGGGGTTGATCTCCTCTAGGTCTGACCAGTTGGATCGCCTTGCAGTTCAGGGGACTCGCAGGAGTCTTCTCCAGCACCAGAGTTCAAAGGCCTCAATTCTTTGGTGCTCAGCCTTTCTTATGGTCCAACTTTCACAGCCATACATTGCAACTGGGAAAACCATGGCCTTGACTATACGCACTTTTGTCAGCAGGTTGATGTCTCTGCTTTTTAGTATGCTGTCTAGATTTGCCATAGCCTTCCTCCCCAGGAGCAAGCATCTTTTAATTTCTTGGCTGCAGTCCCCATCGGCGGTGATCTTGGAGCCCAGGAAGATAAAATCTGTCACTACCTCCATTTCTTCCTCATCTATTTGCCAGGAACTGAGAGGGCCAGATGCCATGGTCTTGGTTTTCTTAATGTTGAGTTTCAAGCCAACTTTTCTAAATGGCACCTTTTTGTATGTTGCAATTTTTAAAACCGTTTTAAGAGGTAACGGTAATCTGACTGGTGAAATGCTTTATAGGAAGCAACAGATCCCCATGTGTTGTGATTCCATGCCAGCCTGTGCTCACAACAGCTGAGTCTGAGGAATCTGAGGAGGAGGTGGAGGAGGTATTTGAAGGGCCATCAGGGGCAGAGGGAGGCTTGGATGAATTACAGGACTCACGGTTTGATTCAGAGCCTGGGCCCTCCAATCGTGTTCCTGATGAAGCTCAGCTGTGTGAAGAGAATGAGTCAGAAGAGTCACACCTGATGGACTTGCTAATTGATGCTCGCACACGTGGTCATTTAGCAAGAGAAAATCAGCAGCAATCAATATGACGCCTCCAGAGTAAAAGGAGAAGGCGATGAGAGGCAACACCTTGGGACTGCTGAATAAAGGGAGGTGTGGGCGGTGCTGGTTGCTGAAGGCAACTGTTTGCAAAGTGCTTCTTGGAATCCTGGTCTGTTCGTCTTGCTTGTGACGTCTCTTCTGTTTGCATCGTGTTTCCTGTGGACTATTTCATTCCTTTGGAATTGAGTTTTGCTGTTTGTGTTTTGGACTATTTGACAGGTTTGTCATCCATATTAAAAGGGGTTTGTTTTGTTGTAAAGTCTCCAGCCTATTGCATCAGCAGGGCTTGGTCCTTGTGCCTTTAACAAGGACGGCAGTAGGCTGGAATAAAACACCGTGGAAGCCTCTTTGTGATCTGTAGCTGTAACACCAGGTTTCACTGATCTACGATGAGATCAGAAGGATATGCCGAAGAACAGCAGACTGATTAAGAGGGGCAAGAAAGGACACAGCTATATGTCAGCACCCTCCAATGATAAGGCATTCGCAGGAACCCTGTTCAGCAGGGAAGACGGGTGGTAAAAACAACCATGTTCCTATCAGGCAGCAAACAGAATGGATTCTGGATATACCATGGACAGCTCCTTGCAAACTAGCAACGTCTTTGGGGGAGGAAACTGAAGGTAGACAACTAAGTACTTGCCAATACATAATTCAGAAGACATGGAAGAAAATCTTTTGCCGGAACCAGTTGACAGAACCCTATACCCTAATATCCTATATCAATGGTGGCGAACCTATGGCACGGGTGCCAGAGACGGCACTCGGAGCCCTCTCTGTAGGCACACTTCTCAGTGAATGCAAAGTAGCTAACTCTATTGACAGATGATTATTGGGGACAAAAGGTTTGCCTCCCTACTGGGTAAATACAGTTTTGTGACTTTTTAAAGAATGATAATGATGATACCACTATTTCAGGCAGAAATAGTACATCTTAGTAGTACAGTTAATGGAGTTTCTTTCAGTGAAATAGTACACTCCACAGAACGTCTAAGGCAGTGGTGGTGACCAATGGCATGGGTGCCAGAGACGGCACTCGGAACCCTCTCTGTAGGCACACGTGCCATTGCCCCAGCCTCGCCTCCCCCCGTGACCCTCTCCTCTCCAGCAGCCCCCCTGCAGGACAGTCACCCTCGAGCGTGACCCACACGGAGCAGCACAGCCAAGGACATGGCAGCCAGGCAGCGTAGACAAGACTCTGTCCTCACACCCCATCATGCAGTTGATGCTGCAGGGTGCGGGCAGAGGGTGTGGCCACCATAGTGCTGCTGGGCTGCCTGGGCGATCTGCGGCGAGCCCTGGAGGCGGTGAGTGGTCCTGTGGGCAGGCGGGGGATGGCGGGGCGGGGGGGTGGAGTGGGGGCGGGGCCAGGTTTTGGGCACTCGGTCTCTAAAAGGTTCGCCATCACTGTCCTATATAATAAGCCAGCAACCTAAAATGTATTATTTTATGAAGAATGTGCAAAGTGTTCTAAAGAGGCGTTTTGCAAAGTTTCATCTCGATGAAACTCCTCTTTCCAAAAAAAGCAGCTGTGCATTTTGGATATTTCACGATTTCTTCACAAAGGGTTCCCCTGGATTTCCATTACCTGAAAGTTTATGCCACGTTTGCCCCCCACCCCCCGACAGGGCCATGGAGAGACACCCGGGAAAAGGTTTTGAAGCCACTACACTGTCCTTGGAAAGGAAAACAGCTGCCTTAATTCCTGGAAGAGAGGTGCCTTTTATGCAAATGCACTTTGCACAACGTCTCTTTCTAAAGCTTTGTTAGTTGCTTGGTAAATAAATGCATGAAAAAAACATTCTGCAGTGTGTGACGCTGGGGCTTTATTTTCCTTAAGCCAGGGGTCTGCAACCTTAAACATTCAAAGAGCCACTTGGACCCGTTTCCCAGAGAAAAGAAAACACTGGGAGCCGCAAAACTTGTGCGCGCACATGCGCGCGCACGCAAGGGGTGGGAAGCCTGATTAAAGAGTTTAATTAAAAAGAAATAGAGGCTGCTGTGCATGAGTTCTCTCTCTCTCTTTCTCTCTTCCCCCCTTCTCTCTTTCCTCTTCCTCTCTCTCTTTCTCTCTCTTCTCTCTCTCCCCCCCTCTCTGCTCAACTGGCAAGCTGACCAGGCTCTTCTCCAACAAGCTGACACACGTTATTGGGCTGGCTCTGTCCTGCCCTTCCTGCTTCCTGCTGAGATGCAGCAAAGGGAGGAGCCCTGCCCAATAAGCTTGTCAGCTCGTTGGAGAACTGTGTGAGGCCACTCTTTTTTTTTACACATACATACACACACACACACACACACACACAGAGAGAGAGAGAGAGAGAGAGAGAGAAGGGAAAGGAAGCGCAAGTGCTTCTGTCTCTGGGAGCCGCAAGGGAAGGCTCAAAGACCCATATGTGACTCTGGAGCTGCAGGTTGCCGACCTGTGCCTTAAGCTAATAGATGTCTTGCATGCAAAGCCAGCCTACCAGCATAACCAGGTTTTCTTGGCTGCTCTTTTAAGGCTTCTACCTGTGTTGCAAGTGTCCTTCATCAGCCTGCACCGGTCTTTCACGGATGAAGCGCTCCGCCCGAGAGCGGCTCCTATCGTCGCCCAGTCATTCCCGTGCTTGATTCTTAAACTGAAGGGAAAAAAAGCGCTTAGTTTTTGCTCAGGATCAGGACTATGAAATCAATGTCTATGGAGATTCTCAGTCATCCAGGTCATAGTCATCCCAAAGGTGTTTTTTCACGAGGCAACTGGACTGTCTTATTTGTCTTTGAAGATCTTTTGCTTCTCATCCAAGAAGCTTCTTCAGTTCTGACTGGACGGTGGGGAAGTGTATAAATCCTTCCATGCCCCACCCTCCAGCTTCTTGGATGAGAAGCGAAACCTCTTCAAGGAAAAAAACAAAGTCCAGTTGCCTTTTGAAAAAGCACTTTTGGCACAACCAGGAGCCGGAGGATTGAGAATCTCCACAGACATGGAATCAAACAGAGCAGGGTTTTTTTTCTGCAGCACCCAAAGATTTGGTAAGAACGTGACGGAGTCCCACAGAATAATAAAAGCAACAAACAAACAAGCAAATAAAATACTTGGAATGGAGTCAGTTTTCTATCAGTAAAACTTTGCCCTTTGCTCAATCGTCCAGGACTATTATTTGGCTTAGTTCTGCACCCTAAAAAGCTTGAAGGCCTCTGACACAAACCAGGTTACTGCTGACCCGAGGGGGGGGGAGGGAAGGAGGTGCCACCATATTGAAAGATGACAACAGGAGTGACGTCTCCATCCATTTTCTGCAGTCCTGCCAGGATTCTTCCCACAGCATTGCAGGGATGAGGCAATCTCATTGAGGCAACTTGGGAGGGAGATGAAATGGGATGCCAGAAGGGGGGGGGGGAAACACTAAGGTTTAGATCAGGGGTAGGCAATCTTGGCTCTTTTATGACTCGTGGACTTCAACTTCCAGAATTCCTGAGCCAGCATGGCTCAGCATGGAAACCTCTCCCTTTCTCCTCAGCATGGCTGGCTCAGGAATTCTGGGAGTTAAAGTCCACGAGTCATAAAAGAGCCAAGGTGGCCTACCCCTGGTTAGATTGAGCCACAGTAATCTGCTGCTCACGGGCCATTCTTGTAACCTCCCACTTTTCACTTTTGAGCAGCTGTCAGTAGATATACTGTACAAGCATGATGGCTGTGAGCAACGTGGTGGCTTAGTGGTGAAGATGCTCGCCTCCCAACCAGAAGGTTGAGAGTTCACTCCTAGCTAGCAGCAGATGTTTCTCTCTCAGGGCACAAAGGAAAAAAAATATCTGCTTTGAACTCCGTGTATGCATCAGGAAGGGCATCTGGCCGGTAAATGCTCAAGTCCATCCAGTCCTATCCCAACTCTATCCCGAATTAAGGGATTATAGGGTCCTAAAAAGGAAGGTTTTTTTTTTAAGGGTGATGGCCAGTCTCTGTATTCTTGACATGCATCCATGAGAGATTTGGGGGCATTTACACAGCCAATATCAAGTCAGGCCTCTGTGGTAGGGAGCATTCAATTTCCCACTGAACAGGGTGCCTGATCGACTTGATCAAGGGGTCAGACTAGAAGACCTCCAAGGTCTGTTCCAACTCTGTTATTCTATATGACGTAGAGCACAGATTTAACAAAGCCTTTCTAATCAAGTTATCTGCGCCAAATAAAGCTGAAAGCTCTCCCCCAAAGTCCTATGCAAATGGCTTTTTTTTGGGGGGGGGAGCATTTATTTCACACAATCCATTTTGTTGTTCTTTTCTCTCTCTTGAATATAAATTCATGAATCTTCATTTGTCCACCTAAGATGAAACTAAGTTTCCAGAATGGGGTATGAACTACTGCCAAAAATCTGCTTTTAAATAAAACTTACTCTTTCAGCTTTTCGATCTCTTCGGGAGTATACCTGTTAAATATGTAAACAGCATATTTACTGAAGATGTAAATGCACACTCATTATACAAGTTCATCTTGGCCCACTGTCTTGAGGAGACTCTTGGGACAAAAGGGAAAAACATGGTCTCCTAATGCTCCACCATCGTGTGTGCAATTTGCTAGTTTCCGATTGTTGGAAATCATGATTTTAATTAGGATCACCAGGAAAGGAAGCTGTATAATTTGCTCTTTATTCCTATACGACAGGGGTCTTCAAACTTGGCCCTTTTATGACTTGCGGACTTGAACTCCCAGAATCCCTCAGCCAGGCATGCTGGCTGAGCAATTCTGGGAGTTGAAATCCACAAGTCATAAAAGGGCCAAGTTTGAAGACCCCTCCCAGAATTCCTCACCCAGGCATGCTGGCTGAGGAATTCTGGGAGTTGATGTCCACAAGTCATAAAAGGGCCAAGTTTGAAGATCCCTGCTATATAGGATGAAACTAGCAATCAATTCTTCACGACCTTACGGTCATCCAAGCCATTATTTTCAGAATTTCAGAATATTACACATTGTTGATTTTTTTTTAGAAGAACACAATCATACTTAAAATACATTTATTCATTGTTTATTTATTTGTAAAATTTATTATCTGCCCATCTTATCACGTGGTTCTCGGAGCTGCTTACAATATTAAAACTATATAAAACCTAATAATGCAAATACAATACTACAAAAAACACCCCCTCCTAGCTAAAAAGATAGGGAGAGAGGGAAGATGATGAGAAGGGGATGGGATGGGACCTGTTATTAATCTGTCATCCGCCCCCAATATGATATCCCTCCAATAGAGCCCCAAACCAACTGACAGATCCAGGTCTTTAAGCCTTTATGGAAAGTGAGAAGGGTTAGGAGCTGACCTCCACATTAAGGACGATTCATCCATGTGGAGACACCACTAATGAACCTCGCCGCCACTTTGTCCGGATTGATGCTCAGTATATTTATCAGGAATGGGCAGAAGTTAAATTTGGATCTACTCATAGATCTTCAGATGAACTTCAGTACATGGGAAAAGATCTGATTCCCAAACGTCTAGCCTTATCAGTAATATGATGAGGTGCTATGGAGGATGAAGGTCTCAGCTGGAAATTCACTTCACTTACGAACGTTGGGGATTTTGAATCAGAGCTACAGAAAGGTTTTTGGTTTTTTTTAGTAATTTTCTGGTCAACTCCTTCATCTGACATCATCACTGTCCAACATTTTAGGGCTCTACTCTTCAAGCTAGACCCTGTTGACCTGACCATCAAGCTGGTTGACAACTCAAAATCCTACCATTGAGGTCAAACCTCAGGAAGGTTCATACTTGCCAACGTGGTTTCGGTCATCGTACATGCGAAGGACTCGTCTATAAACAGCAAAGAGAGGCCGGTTCAAACCCCACGCAATGGTCCTGTAGAAATCTTTCCTTTCATCTTTTGACATCTCAAAAATGATTTCGGTGGCATCTTTGATTCCACGGGCCTGGTCACATTAAGAGTGGGATGACAATTTAAGTTTCCCATCACTTGACAGTGAGTCAAAACTGATTTTGTTTTTTCCAGGACAGCCTTCCCAAAATAAGTAGGGCGATTCAAACTCTAATCCAGGGCTCTTCAAACTTGGCCCTTTTATGACTTGTGGACTTCAACTCCCAGAATTCCTCAGCCAGGCTGAGGAATTCTGGGAGTTGAAGTCCACAAGTCATAAAAGGACCAAGTTTGAAGACCTCTGCTCTAATCAGCCAGTTCCAGTTTGTGATAGTAAATGGGAGAGGAAAACCATCACCTCTGGAAAAATAAGGCAGGATTGGATTTTGCAGGTTTAAGATGGCTGCTAGACAACCAGGAACTTATACTATTGCTTAGTTGTGCAATATAACAACTATAATGTTTAATACGAGATTAAACTGAGATGGCAGCAATATTTTTTTCTTTTTGAAAAATATCAACTAGCAACCAGGAAAAGGTGCAAAATGCATTTCACTTGAAATCAACATGGAAGAAATGACCTCCATTATTTCTAATGGGCTTTAAAATCAAAACAAGGATGTTCGAATCCGTAGTCTCCTTTTTTCATAACTACAAAATGAAATCGATTATAAACCAATCCAGCTAAAAAAGTTCTTTATAGCTCTCTCTATTTGGGAGACAGGCTGACAAACAAATTGGAATGAACATCTTTCTCAGGTATTTTTAAGAAGAGGCTGACTCAGCGTCAGTCAGGGACAAGATGAGGTTCAAGATGTCCCAATTTAAGATTCGTTGGCTTCATGTCAACCACTGAATCTTTGATTTAAGGCTATAAGAAGGACAGACAATCCCACTGTAAAACAAAAGCACCATTCATTCTTTGGTTAAATGGGTAAGTAAATGGTCTGGGTGCTGCTTAACCAGATCCACTGCTATAAAAGCTCCGGCAAACATGGGTGAAGAGCGTGGTCTTATAAAGTTTAAATGTAAAGGTAATTAAGATATATACAAGCTAAAAAATTATCGATGAATGTAATAAATATGTTTTTACCTAGCGGTAATAATAAAAATTACTAGCTTAAATATGAGATAGTAGATATTAAGAGAAAAAGAAAGGAAACATTAAATGTTGAAATAAGAGAAATTTTGGTTACTAAATTTAAGATATTTGGGAATTACCAGGAAATAAGAATATTATATTGTATTATTAATTAGTTGATGTAAGATGGTCAGAATTCAAATAGATAAGATGTGTATCCTGTGATCCTGTGATGAATTGTGATAAAGGAAATTGGGATTATTTAAAACTTGGAAATTATAAATATTAAACGTTAAATTTAAATATTAATGGGAAACTAAAAATTGGGGAAAACTAACCAGGACATTGGTTGTCTAAAAAGATTGAATGTTAAAACAACTAGGATATATCAACTTAAAATTATTGATAAAAGGTTATTTTTTATATCAACTTAAAATTATTGATAAAAGTAAGGAGGTTATTTTTATTTAATCGATATAGTAAGAATTGTATTAATTTAAATATGAGACAGTAAATACCAAGGGGAAAAGAGAGGAAATATTTAATGTAATAGTTTGAGATCTGTACTAAAGATATTTGTATGTTATTGAATTATTGACCAACTCAGCCGCCACGTTGCTTTTCAAATATTTAAATGTAAAACTAGAAAATCAATAAAATTTTCTTTAAAAAGAAGAAGAGGAAGGTCTCTTTATGTACGCAGCTAAAGGGACTCATCTTTACAACAAAGATGAAAAAACTCTATGGAATCCCACTGATGAAAACTCTGAAACCCATCAGACAGAAAAGACCAACATCTGAAACTAAGACACATATTGAGAGCAACACAAACCTTCAAATAACGCTCGATGTTACTCATCAAAATCTGAATTTCTTCCTTCGACCACATGCCCTGTTTCCACTTATGACCTTAAAAATGGAGAAGAAACCATCACACAAACTACCCTACTAATAGTTCAACTTACAGGGAACAATTAGCACAGAGAAACAGAGACGGTTTATTTAGATCCACTTCTAATCAAGCAGATAAATTTTACTCGTTTGTGGCCGGCCACCACGGCATTTTGTTTTTAGTACAAGCTGACAGAGAATGGCAATTATTGGGTGGCTTAAGACTTAATAAATAAGAGATGATCATTAAATCACAGTATAATTTTTTTCAATGCTTTTCCAAGTGAGCAAAGTGGTTTTAAATCTATGCACCCAATTCAACAAGCTCTTATCTGTTATATTTTCATACACACAATAAATTTAACCATATATGTACATAAATGTTGACGTTTAGCACTGATAATGAATGCCTCAAAATGGAAATGAAGAGTTTCTATTATTTCTAGACAAGATATATATATATATATATATATATATATATATATATATATATATATATATATGTAGGTCTTTGGTTGTTCGGGTTTTCTCCCGCGTAAAATTGGAAGTGTCTTGGCGACGTTTCGACGAAGTCCCATTCGTCATCTTCAGGCTGGTGTTTTCAGCTTCGTGCTTCGAGCAGCTGCTCGAAGCACGAAGCTGAAAACACCAGCCTGAAGATGACGAATGGGACTTCGTCGAAACGCCGCCAAGACACTTCCAATTTTACGCGGGAGAAAACCCGAACCAAAGACCTACATACAAACACCCGCGAAAACCTCAGAAAACACACACACACACACACACACACACACACACATATATATAATAAAATTTGGATTGCTAACAAAGAATTAAGGGAGAATGGGATAGCTATTTCGAGTTTCTTAACGCTCTTCAGCCAAAATTACCCTTTTTGAGATTCGAGCCTGGGCTGTGTGCATGTTAGGCAGCTGCATTAACCTCTAGACCACAGGCTCTTTCTCACTTTGTCAGCTGTATCAGGGAGGGAAGAGACAGGGGGAGGAGATTTACCTAAAAGCAGTTGTTGGGAAGAAGCTTATATATGATCACTAGATGCCGCGTCACCGGTCCCAGCTGATCGAATTGCACTCTAAGCATACCCTTTGCGTCAGCGCCCAGCCAGTGACGCGGTCCAGAAGCCGGATGCAGGCATCTAGTGATCATATATAAGCTTCTTCCCAACAATTGCTTTTAACCCTGACGATGTCGGAAGCTTCCGACGAAAGCTAGGTTTTATTAAATGTTTTTCTCATTTATTCTCCTAGTGATTGTTATTTATTTGCTTTACAATATATATATATATATATATATATATATATATATATATATAATATATATATATATATATATATTCTCCTAGTGATTGTTATTTATTTGCTTTACAATATATATATATATATTATATATATAATATAATATATATATATATATATATATATATATATATATATATATATATATATATAAAGGCCAGAATGGCAGGGAATCCGATAAAGTACAAGTTATAATAATTTAGCCATAGGCTAAATAAATAATAAATATAAATATTTGTTAGCTCTCATTGCAAAAAAGCTAGCATATTGTCCACAAGTTATTTTAATAAAACAGATTAATCTCTCTCAAAATAAGGTCATACTTGTCTGTCATGCACCGAACTTTCACAGATATTCCTCCTGTGGAAGACACAGAGATGCCCTCCCCAAATCAGAACATGTAAACTTGCCTTTGTTTGTTAAACAATCCTTGTCTTCTTTGGTTGTAAACCAGGCCTGGCTGACTGCAGACACTTCTTCATTGGCTAGAGAAGAGATTTCATCCAGTTGCTCATTCTGAAGGATCTGGGAAAGGTAAACAGGAGAGGAGATCCTCAACTTAGACAATTTTAAGACGTGTGGACTTCAACTCTCAGAATAAACCCATTACTCCGAGGGCAACCGTTTTATAGTTTCAAATCCCACGCAGCCATGCCCCAAGAGTGCATGGGACACCACAAGAACGGCATCATACCTGAATCTGAGTCACCGTTCCTTCGTTAACTTCATGGTCAGCTACTTCTGTAGTAGCAGTCATGGTCACCTCAAAGCTCGGATCACTTTCTGAAACTGAAAAGCACATAAAGGGTTAAGCTTGTGTAGGACTATTATCTTCATTGTAAATATCCTTCTCATATATGCACAGTAGCTACCAGGCTCAATGAATATGTTTCAGTCAGCTATGTCTGCTTGCTATTTCTGTTTTGCCATCTGTTTTCTTGAGGTATTCAGGGCCAGTTTGGTCTAGTGCAGGGGTAGGCAACCTTGGCTCTTTTATGACTCGTGGACTTCAATACCCAGAATTCTTGAGCCAGCCATGCTGAGGGGAAAGGGAGAGGTTTCCAAGCTGAGCCATGCTGGCTCAGGAATTCTGGGAGTTGAAGTCCACAAGTCATAAAAGAGCCAAGGTTGCCTACCCCTGATCTAGTGGTAAAAGCACCTGGCTAGGAACCAGGAGATGGTGAGTTCCAGTCCCGCTTTAGCCATGAAAGCCAGCTGGATGATCTTGGGCCAATCCCTCTCTCTCAGCCCAACTCACCTCACAGGGATGTTGTGGAGAAAAGAGGAGAAGGAAAGTGCGTTGATATGTTTTCCCCCTTGAGTTGTTCTAAAAATAATAAAGGTGGTATATGAATGAATGAATGAATGAATGAATGAATGAATGAACGAATGAATTGTGGACTCAGTTCAACAACAAAACTAAAATTCTCTTGCTACACATTTCCACAAACCCTCCTGGTCTACATGTATGTTTTACTGTAGCCGGTTACATCTGCAGATCTTTCAGGAGAACCACTTACGTGGAACTGCAACGACAGAGATGCATGGAGTGCTGCCGTCAACGCTCTGGTCATCTTCTGACGATAAGCAAAGCCTTTTATGGGGAGGTCCGATGCTGCCTTCGGAGTCTATTTCGTCTGCCTCTAAAAACGCATGCAGAGAAGAACGACAGCCATGAAAACTCAGAAGGGAATCACATCTGACATTATTTCATGCTGAACTGCCTACTGCAGATCATTCAAGGACACTCAACTGGAACTCCTACGGCAGACATGTCAAACACAAGGCCCGGGGGCCGGATGTGACCCACAAAGTGGTTTCATGTGGCCCGCGAAGCCATCCTGGAAACAGTGAGGGAACGGCCCCTGCTGCCTTGGCCCTGGCCCAGGCCGGCCGGGAGCCAATGTACAATTTTGTGGTGGCCAACTATGCTGAAATGCATTCAGTCTTAGCTCCACAAGGCCATCTGGAAACAGTGAGGGACCAGCCGCTGCCGTGTCGGCCCCACCCCAGGTGCATGCTGGGGAGATGTCACCCTTTGTGAGGAATGAAGAAATGCACCATCGCCTGGAAGTGGCCAGCAAATGGCCCTCGCCTACTTCACATATCCGGCTTGATGCGCTCTGGGGGAGGGGTTTCGGCAGGCAGTGGGGGGCTCTTCTCACAGTGCCAAGAGGCTGAGCCGGGCAGCACAAATCCAAAAAGAAATGCGAGGCTGCCTAGCTCCCAGCCTGTCCGGTTTCAGCAGGCAGTGGGGCGCTCTCCTCACAGCGCCAAGAGCTGAGCTGGGTGGTGCAAATCTGATGAGAAGTGCAATGCTGCCTAGCCCCCAGCCTGCCCAGTTTCAGCAGGCAGCAAGGTGCAAAGTTGGCGAGCTTCACACTGCCCGGCTCAACCTCTCGGTGCTGTGAGGAGAGTGCCCCACTGCCTGCTGAAACCATGCCCACCCAGTAGGTCACACCCACTCCATCCACGCCCAGCCAGTAGGCCACACCCCCCGAGCCCCCCGAGGGCAACCGCAATGCTGATGCGGCCCTCAATGAAATTGAGTTTGACACCCCTGTCCTAGGGAGAAATGTAGTTATTGAAAGATGCCAGTTTTAAGTTCCTGAAAAATATTCACATTTTAGCTGTTGGTCGGGGCTGCGCAATCCATTTTTTTTCTTTTTATGACCCTTTAATCTCTTTGTTTCGGGGTGGAGTTGTTACAACTGGATGGAGCTGAGCGTTTACTGGCCGGATGCCGTTCCTGAGGCCAACATGCAGTTCATAGCAGATATTTTCTCTTTGCACCCTGATAGAGAAACATCTGCCACTGCCTAGTCTCACTCTCAACTTTCTGAGTGTGAGACGAGCATCTTCGCCTCTAGGCTGCTCATGGGGTGCACATGGGGCTGCTCATGGGGTGCACAATTCATGGCCTTCTTGAAATCCAAGACCCCTTTTTCAATCCCCAGAGATCAGCAACTAACATTTAGTGGTGTGATTCTTCCCTTACACGAAAAAAATAAATTAAAAAAACGCCTGAAAACAATACTTTGCCCACGATATCATTAAAATAAGTTTGCTTTAATCCAATTTTCATACACATTAAAGTCTAATGCAGTGGTTCTCAACCTGTGGGTCGGGACCCCATTTGGGGTTGAACGACCATTTCACAGGGGTCGCCAAACAAGGCGGTCCGCCATTTTTCCCCCCTTTTCTTTGGCCATGCCCCTGGCACCCGGTGATGTATAAGTGGTTGGGGGGGTCACCACAACATGGGGAACTGTATTATGGGGTCGCGGCATTAGAAAGGTTGAGAACCACTGTTCTAATGGTTTAAGAGTCGTTAGTCTGCCATAATCAAACCAATAAGGAACCATTTGTCATCGGTTTGCATAATTCCAACAGAAAGTCATCCAACCTACTGCGCAATTGTTGGTGCAATTAATCACAATTGTGGGTAACTGATCTGGTCCACTGCTCCCACATCCAATTCCAGGCTCAAGCCATTTGAATTTAAGGAGTAAAATGGTTCAAAACTCCTGAACACCCCCCCCCCAAATTGTTTTTAGAGGGAAATGTCCAGACTGGGTCAGGGTTTTGCACCATCCTCATGCTTCAGCAATGGCTGAATGGGTGCGATGACTCAGTGGTTAAAGATACTGAGCTTGTCAGATGGAGAGCTGACAGACTGGGTTCAAGACCCGAGCGTGCATGAGAGGGTAAGCTCCTGTCCTTGCTTCAGCTCCTGCTCCCCTAGCAGTTTGAAAGCATGCAAATGCGAGTAGATAAATAGGTACCACTTCGGTGGGAAGGTAACAGCGTTCTGTGTGCCTCTGGCGTATAGCCATGCTGGCCATATGACCAGGGAAATTGTCTTCGGCCAAGAAACAGAGATGACCACAGTGTCCTAGAGTCGGACATGATTGGACAGAGGGAAACCTGTACCTTTTACGCTATGCTTCAGCAGTGTGATCACGGTCTATTTTGAGGGGTGGGATTCCGTAAGTGAAGTGGGTGTCCTAATGAAATGCAAGTCCTAAACCAGGGGTAGGCAACCCTGGCTCTTTTATGACTCGTGGACTTCAACTCCCAGAATTCCTGAGCCAGCCATGCTGAGGGGAAAGGGAGAGGTTTCCAAGCTGAACCATGCTGGCTCAGGAATTCTGGGAGTTGAAGTCCACGAGTCATGAAGGGACCTAGGCCTAGGCCAGAGGTAGGCAACCTTGGCTCTTTTATGACTTGTGGACTTCGACTCCCAGAATTCCTGAGCCAGCCATGCTGAGGGGAAAGGGAGAGGTTTCCAAGCTGAACCATGCTGGCTCAGGAATTCTGGGAGTTGAAGTCCACAAGTCATAAAAGAGTCAAGGTTGCCTACCCCTGTTCTAAGCCATTCACTGCAGAACCTTGATTTTTTTTAAAGGACATTCCTGAAATTCCTCTAGAAAACTAAAACCCCAGTGAAAATGCGACACTAACACCCATCTCTCCCAAATTTTATTACAAAATTATGCCACCCACCCTACCCAGCGGTGCAACTGAGCCCCATATCTTGGTCTGAGGAGTGATTATAATTTGAAATAATATGGAGAAAGCATACAGTGAAATAACAGGTGTTCTATACCATCCTGGGGGCAGTGAAGAATAAGGTTGCCTTGGGTGTCTTGTGTCAGAGTTACAGAATTCACGGTTTCTACTGTCACTGTGTCAGATTCTTCTTCAACTGTGGTCATAATCAAATCTACAAGAGAATAAGCACCGATTAGCCACAAGGTCATTATTTATTGATAAAAGGGAATATTTGTAACTCAAGAGTTGAAACAAGGAGTCCTTGGCGCTCTCTTGCAGACGTTTCGTGACCCACCATAGGTAACATCATCGGAGGTAATCTTCTAGCACTAATGTTTCCTGGTTTGGGTCATGAAACGAAATAAGCAAGCTCAGAGAACACCACAAACCGGGCCATTTATTTACTTGGAACCTACAACCTCCTCATTTAGCTCAGAATCAAATGCAGAGTAAGTAAAACAGCCATGCTATAGACCTAGACAGAAGACATCTGCTCCTTGTTAAGAGTGGCTTTTAATTTCTCGTACCTTCTCATTTGTAACTTCAAAAACAAACAGTTATCCTAAGATCAAATAAAAGCTGGCTACTCCCTTGAGAGGGCGATTACCAAGAAGAAACTCAACATTCTTCAAGGAATAGAAAATTTGAGGGACAGACTCATGGAGTCTGTAAGTGCAAGGGTTACTTAGGATTTTGAAGAGTATCTGGTCCATCCCCTTGCAGGCATCCACGAGAGAGAGCTATCCCGTCTCTGTTCAAGCATCTCTAGGGAAGGAAAGTTCACTGGTTCCCGAGGAAGTCTGTTCCACTGTTGACCACCTCTTACCACCAAGAAAGTTTTCCCGATGTCCAACTGAAATTTGCTTTCTTGTGATTTTAAGTCATCGCTTCATGCCATGTCTTCAGGAGCTCTAGCCTTCTCTTCTACATTCAGATGCCAAAAAATGGCTCCTAGGTTTCCCCCATCTTGTAACTTTGATTCTTATTACTCAGATCAAAGAGTTTTGTATTTCATCCAGCTGAGATCCATGTTGTGGATTGCTGCCCATTGTTTTGCCAAGTTGAGGTCCTCAGGAATCTTGATAAGTGCGGTCTAAGGTCTTTTGCTATCCTCCCTGTATGTCAGCCCTGCGAGGTGGTCCAGACGAGAAGCCCCTTTATGAGCACAGTTCTAGCTTTATTGTAAGGTTACATTAACAGAATCTCGCAAGACTGAAAAAGTATCTTTCTCCTCCTTTCCTTTTAATAATAACAGTCATAAAGTTGGAAGGGAGCTTGGAGGTCATCTAGTCCAACCCCTTGCTCAGGCAGGAACCCTTCTCTGGAAAATTAGGGAGGGCCCCTTCTGACATGCTGCCCATGCCTCTTCTTCTTCAGTGACCTGAGAAACCTTTTCAATGCTGGTTAACCAGACTATGACTCTCCCTTCTGTCTTCCAAGTTCATTCCCACATACCATTACACTGTCTTTGGGACATCTGCAAATTTGTTGGGTTGTTGACGTGGCTAAGTGTGGATGAATGTGCGCGCGTGCAACTGGGCAACAGCAAATGTGAATTGTAACCAGTAGAATTTCACTGTTGCCTTAAATTCACTGGGTCACTGTGTATTCCAAAGAACCTGTTGTGCCTCATTGTTCAGCTGAAAGTGACATTTGTGTGTCCCTTCCTTTCCTGGCTATTGACCTGTGCTGTGTCTGTGTTAGCCACCCCTATCTGGAACACCTAGGCAGACAGCAAGGGAGGCTTACAAGATCCATGTGCCTCAACAGGCAGTGCACGTGTGAATGCGCGACCCTAAGCTGAACTGCGAAGTGCCTGTTAACACACTCAGAATATTTAGCCCTTTCGTGAAAGGCAGAAACCTCATAGATGCAAACAATGCACGTATTCTCAAAATCCTCATGGGAGGGACAGGCCAGGCTCCTGCTTGATGCCCTGCTCAGCAGTTTTAACAGAAATAAAAGCAAGCCAGCAAGTGAATAATCTAACAGCGGTGAAACCCTACCAACAGCTGGGTGTGTCTTCTTGAAGAACAGAACTACATGTGATCCTGGCACCATGTCGGAAAGAAGATATGTGGGACAGGAAAAAAGTGCCTCCATGCCGTGATGCTGAACACTACAACACTGAGTCATGCTACGTGACAATGTCTGCTGAGTTGTTGCCCCCGTGAGGACGATGGCCAAAAACCCATGATAGATTGAGTGACCACCACTGTTTGGGTCATGCTGTCAACCTCTGCATTTTCTTGGACTAGAAGACCTGTAAGGTCCCTTCCAGCTCCGTTATTCTGTCAATTCTTCTGCCGTTTATATGGTGTAAAACTACAGATGGGTAGAAAACATCTGGCTGCTGCTAGTGAGAATGTGCAAATTGGGGCCATCATGGAAAGCTCCGATCTGCAAATGTTTTGACCTTGAAATTCGATGTACAAAATATTACGGAAGTAGTTGAATCCTGAAACTGACCTCAGAAAAGGTTTAAATTTCCAAATTTGACCCTTTCTGGACCACTTCAATGAAATTAGAACATCCACCAACAGGATAGTTTCCACCTCCATGGATTATAATGGTAAATTATACCATTTACCATTAATTACCCCCTCATGTCGACTTGTGTTCCTTTGCCTAATCCCAGAGGGCACTTTTGCTCCAAAATTAGACCTGTTGCCTGCAAACAAGGCTAGTTTTGGTTTGCAAGCTGAAGTATTTGTCTTGCAAGCACCATTGACTGAGGCAGAATACAGGTAGTCCTCAATTTACAACCCCAATTAAGCTCAACATTTATGTTGCTAAGCAAGGCATTTGTGTTAAAGGAGTTTTGCCCCATATTACTACCTTTCTTGCCACAGTTATGTTGATCACTGCAGTTGTTAAGTTAGTAACTTGGTTGTTAAGTGAATCTGGCTTCCCCATGGACTTTGCTCTGCAGGTTGCAAAAGGGGAACCACACGTCATAAATATGAGTCAGTTGCCCAGAGTCCGAATTTCGATCACATGACCACAGGCATGCTGCAATGGTCTTGTGAGCAATAGTTGCCACTATTTTCAGTGCAGTTGTAACTTTGAACAATCACTAAATGAACTGTTGTAAGTTGAGGACTACCTATGTATCAGTGATGGCGAACCTTTTAGAGACCGAGTGCCCAAACTGCAACCCACTTATGCATCGTCCGGTGCTGGGTGGGTGTGACCCATTGGGTGGGCGTGGCTGCGGTGGTAACAGCAGACTGGATGGGACTAAAAAGTTCAATCAATCAATTCCAACTGTGCAAGATCTTTTTTTTCCCCCACAAGAAGTTGAAATTGACTGATTGAACCTTTTTTTTTTTGCACACGGCAGCGGAGGCCTAAAGCGAAAAGGTTTTATAAAACCCAGCTGAAGGCCTAGGACTGGGGCAACGGCGCGTGTGCCCACAGAGAGGGCTCTGAGTGCCACCTCTGGCACCCGTGCCATAGGGTCGCCACCACTGCTATATATCATTCCTACAATATCCATAGTGTTCTGATAATGGGATTTTTTTTTTTTTTTGTCCTTCATTGCTTGTTAACTCCCCCATTGCCTATAAGTCATTTTCAGCAAGTTGGTCTTTAACTGTAATGTTCATTTCAACAACGTATTTAAAATGTAACAGAAGATTAAAAAAAAATTAATGGTCCTCTCCATAAATCTGTCTTCGGAGCCAACGATATTGCCACAGCTGATGGCATATTTGAAATTCGACATGAAGCAATGTTTTGAGGAGCAAAGTTGATCTATCTGAGGACTGAAATGTATTTTGAAACAGTACTATGTATTCTGTGCAGGTGTAAAATTAAAGAACAGTTTTGAAAATACAGCAGAACAACATAGACATTTTGAAATATATCTTTTATTTGTCAAAGCATTAAAGTAAGTTGCATACTTTATCTAAACACGCCAACTGAAAAGATGGAAGCAATTTACTTCAGAGTATCAGTGGTAAAATATCCATGTAGGTATTTTTCAAATTCAGGAGAGGATCTATTCTATGTTAAAATACCATTGATATAGGTTGGAGGGAGGAAGGAAGATCTATGTGGGCAGAATATGAAAGCATTCATTTGCTGTAGTGAAGATACAGTTTGTAAAACTACCATTTACTAGTGACTGAGCAGATTTAGGAATCAAAATCGTTTAATTTAGCAAAGTAGAGTATGAAAGCAGCACTGGCCCTTTTTGGTGCTGAGGTTGTTATTAAGGAATACTATTAGGCACTCCTTCACAGAAGGAGCAGAAAAAAAACCAGAAGCATAACCGGTAATGGGAAAGACAAGATGGAAAAAGTCGGAACTGGAAATACGTTGGTATTATGGAAGGGGAGGAGATCACAGGAGTTAGGCGACAAGAGAGGGCAACCTTTCATGTGTAGGGGTGCAGTATAAGAGGAAGGGAGGAGGAACAAAAAGGAATTTATCTTTTCAAAACTGTGACAGTCCCACGTATTCCCTCTTAGCCTGGGAACGGAACTGGTTCAATTTTTTGGTTCACACCAAACACCAAATCACCAAGCTAAGCACCCCTCCTTGCAAAGTTAACTCTATGCTAGTCTAACGTGCTGTGTGAAGGCAACCACCAGGCAGCTTCTTAAATTAGCACAACAGACCTATGAAAATTATATTGCATCTTATTCTTCTACATCCCCCCCCCCACCAGTCTCATTACTCTGCCCTCTTCTGCCCTCTCATAGCTTATTCTGGCCTTCCCCCCCTCTCCAAATGCATCAAGGGAATGAGACAGAAGGTATTTCACAAATAAAGAAGCAACAGAACCAGGAGAGGCAGCAATGGAATAAAGGGATAATGGGGTAAGAAGGAAAAAAAGAAAAAAAAGAAGCAAGTTATCATAGTTACGATGTACAAAAGACAAAGGCATTTCCTATAAAAATAGGTTGCTCCATATTATATTATATACATGAGACACATATGGCCTACAAGAAAGTGTGTGTATGTGTTTGTGTATCCACATAACTATATTATATAAACACCCTTAGATACAATTTCTGAACGATCTATATGGAATACACACAGGGCAGACAAAGAAACAGACATCTTTATCTATTAATAGAATACCTTGGCAACCTATTTTTATATATATATACAAATGCAACGAAGGTCAGACCCCCATAGGCAATTTATTGCGTAGAATATATTAAATGTTCCAATTGGTGACCATTTTCTTTAAAAAAAACTCTTACTCATTTGATGCATGAACCTCTGAATACTCCTAAGTACAATATTGTATGTATGCATGCATGCATGTATGTAATACCCACATATTATATTCCATTTTCTCGTCTGATGGGGATCCTATTTTATTGCACAGGATATTCTATTCTATATCGCAGCGGGACAGAGGCGAAATCCGTCTCTGGGCGGCCTAATCCCCCCCAAAAGCCCCCCCAAAAGGGTGGGGGGAGGAGCGAAGAGAGCGGGGGCGGGGCCCTCCCCCTCTTCCTCCCCCCCCGCGTTCGAAGGAGCTCCCCCGGGGCGACCTCTCCCCCCGACCCTCCCTCCGACCCGGCTTCCCTTCCCTCCGGTGGCTGCGGAGGACGGGGCCAGGCCGGGGCCTCTCCTGCCCCTCCTCTCCGGCTCCAGGGCCGGTAGCTCCGCGCAGGCCGGTCCGCGGCACTTACTTCCTGTTTTGGGTCCGGGCACTTGAGAAACCAGGATGGAGGCTCCGAAATGCCAGGATGGAGGAAATGCCCGCCGAGCGCCTCAGCCGCAGCAGCAGCAGCAGCAGCAGCAGCGGCGGCAGCACAGCGGAAGGGGCGGTGCCGGGGGAAGGAGCAGCGAGAGGAGCGGGCAGAGCGGAGCGGAAGCGCCGACGCGGGGAACTTCCACCGCCCGCTCGCCGCTTCATCTCTCTCTCTCTCTCTCTCTCTCTCGTCTGCTCTGCCTGGCGGTTTGTTTGTTTGTTTCTGTCTGTCTGTCTGTCTGTCTGTCTGTCTGTCTCTCTCCTCCCTCCTCTATTTCTGTCTCTCCTCTCTGTCTCTCTCCTCTCTCCTTTCTCTCCTCCCTCCTCTCTCTCTGTCTCTCCTCTCCCTCGCTCTCCTTTTTCTCTCCTCCCTCCTCTCTCTCTCTCTCTCCCTCCCTCCCTCCTTCCCTCCCTCCCTTCCTCTTTCTTTCTTTCTTTCTTTCTTTCTTTCTTTCTTTCTTTCTTTCTTTCTTTCTTTCTTTCTTTCTTTCTTTCTTTCTTTCTTTCTTTCTTCTCTAGTCTATGCTTGGATGGGAGACCACAAGGATATCCTAGGGATGGAGAAGATGATCTAAAGAATGTTGGTTGGATCTTCCTTCCTTCCTTCCTTCCTTCCTTCCTTCCTTCCTTCCTTCCTTCCTTCCTTCCTTCCTTCGATGGAGGTTCCAGGAAAAGGTGGGGGGAAAAATCTTGCAAAAAGTGGAGAATGTCTTCTGTATATAGAGACCTATGCCTGGACACTTTATCCTAACTAAATTTGCAGATGGGGGAATGTATGGCCTCTGCAGATGATATACGCTAAATAAATAATAATAAAGCTATGCCTGGAGTCTCCAAGAGGTGGGCTTGGCTTGACGAAGAAGGCATTGCATTCAGGTCTGGCGCCAAAGCCAATGAAGAGCAGCAGACACAAGTTGCGGGACTGAGTTCCTTTTATTGAAGCGCTTCAGCAAAAGGGGTCCCAACCAGCAAAATGCCAGGACCCAGAACAAGGATTCAATAAGCTTTTATACAATTTTTTCAAGGTGGGATAAAGAAACATTGTCTAATAGGCTTTTTGAAACTTATCGAAAGGGTCCTATATTGGCTCCACACCATCCCTATTTCTAAGTCTTAACTAATAAACACTTCAAAAGTTATCTAACAAATATTTTATTGGCTCTACTTCAAGCCTATTCCTAAAAGTTAACTAATAGGCATCCTAGAGGACTTTTAGCAAGTCTTCTATTGGCTCTGTCTTAGCCCAATTCCTTATCTTAGCAATATGTCTTGTATGATATGCTTATTTTCTACATTGAAAGGGGCCCCCACTTGTCCACACTCCCTTTTCCTTTATCTTTGTTATTCAGGCTTCCCAAATATAATCTCCCTGCCTTCTGAGTTGATGCCATAACCTTGCATTTTTATAGCAAATGGCCCTAGAGCAAATGGCCCATCAGCACTGCTTGGTAAGCAGCCTTTGGGAGCATTTATTTATTAAATTTATTTAAGTTAATTATAAATTTATATAGCAGCCCATCCCATTACTGAGACTCCAGAGTAGGAGACTCCTCAGCGGGAGGATAAGCTGCTCTGGTTTTGAGAAAAGTTGTGTCACTTTCAGATTTTTTTTTGTTCTTAAATTGGCTTAATTTTTGAAACCAGACAGCATCTTATTAGACAGACTCAAAACCAATTTTAAACTCGCTCAAAATGGAGACGCCGATATATTGTGAGAAAGTATAAATTTAGATTCCACAGGCTGGGATAGTATAAATCTATGCATGTCTACCCTGAAGTAAGCCTGTTACATTAAATTCCCAATTAAGCAAGAATGCAACTTTAATAAACTGCAAGGAGTAGACTGATGTGCCACGTATTTTTCAAATAATTTTATTGAGAATTACAAACAACAAAAAATGCAAACGGGAAAATACAAAAAAAAAAAAAGGAAAGGAAAAAAGTGGGGGTATGAAATAAAATAAAAAGGGAAGGAAACTAAAAAATTTGACACCCCTGCTCTAGTCCAATCCCCTGCTCAAGTAGGAGATCCTATATTATTTCAAACAAGTCTTTTTTATTTTGCAAGCCTCCAGTGATGGAGCACCCCAATTTCTGAAGAAAAGCTGTTGCACTGGTTATAAATGCTACCGAATTTTTTTTTTAAAGAATATTCTTTAACCTCTTCAAAAAGAAAAAAACCCCCTCACTTTTCTTCTCTTCTTCCAGCATCCAGTGGTGATTCTCCTTGTGAAAGTGGCCTTGTTAGCCTGTGAAAGCCAGGAAGTGTCCAGACGTACCATATATTTTCTGTGAATAAATTCTCTGTGGCTACTCGATTTTTTTACTATGATTTTCCCCATAGACATTTATTAGGATTATGTTCTCTACTGCCTGGTAACCACCAGATGGTGCTCTTCTCCACCTTTTGGCTTTTCAGCTGAGTAATTTCCTAATAGGCCTTTTGGATTCCTGTTTTTATTAAGGTTCCATTGAGAGCAAAAGTATCACACCAGTGGTGGGATTCAGCCCGTTCGCACCAGTTCGGCAGAACTGGTAGCTGATTTTTTGTTACCCAGGCCCAGAATGGACTTCCGGAAACGGCATCCACACAGAGAACCGGTTGTTCACATATTTCAATCCCACCACTGTATCGCACTCATTGTCCATAGAACGTGCTATCTTAAATACTTGGTACTGAACACCCAGCCTGCATGGAGGAGGGATACAGTGTGGAGCTAGCCTGGAGTCACAAAAGGGGCAGGGATGACCCACCTGAGTTCCTTGGAGCCTTGTCTAATTGTTCCCAGGAGTAGGCTTTCAGACTAGGGAGATTCCTGCATTATAGGCAGAACATAATAAAGTAGTTAGCTTGAACCCTGCACGTCTGAGGCTGGTTGTTTGCCCCTGACATTTCTTGACTTGCTGAAAAGACCACTCTGTTTTCTGGTTGCACGTTGTTTGTTTATATATTTATTTATTATTACATTGATATGCCACCCATCTCCCCATGGAAGGACTCTTATGCTTGTTCTACTGCAGGGTTTTTCAACCTTTTCACCCATTGTACCACTTTTAGGATATGGCAACATCCGAGTACCTGACAAGTACCTTGTCGCCTGGCAAGGTGTCAAAAACTTGATGACCCCCCCCCTAAAAAAGGAAAAAAGTGATAAAGTACAGGTAGTCCTCGACTTACAACAGTTCTCTAAGTGACTGTTCGAAGTTACAATGGCACTGAAAAAAGTGCCCCCCAAGCCACAGCTGAGCAAGACACCTGCCTGCCCAACTGGCGGCGCTCTTCCTCCTGTCCGAGGTTTTCATTGTTGTGAGCATTTCTGTTGAGGATTGGCAGCGGGGGTGGGGTGGGGGGTGTTTGGTTTTATTCTCCCCATCTGCTGGGTGGTTGCAGCAGATTTTGGTCACTTCACAAGACCCTGGGACACTGTGACCGTCATAAATATGAATCAGTTGCCAAGCATCTGAATGTAAATCACACGACCCTGGAGAGGCTGCAACATTTCAGCTGATCAGCGCTTCTTCTGGGCTCAGCAGAAGCACCAGGATCAGCGCCGAGCTCCAGCTGGAGTCTGGCACTGATTCTGGCGCTTCCATTGAGCCCTGACAGCCCCGAAGAAGCGCTGATCCTGGCGCTTCTGCTGAGCCCTGACAGCCCTGCAGCTCCAGCCATCTCTCGCTCAGGCTTGTGCGGTGCTGCCACTGGTTCAGCTCATTCTCCTCCCCCGCTACCAATTTTCTAGAATGGTTGCGTACCACCTGCCAGGTGCCAATGTACCACAGGTGGTACCCGTACCACTGGTTGAAAAGCCCTGTTCTACTGGATTGCTATATCACAACAGCCTTTTAGACATGCTTCCAGATAATCAGAAGTGAGAAAGCAATAACGAAAGGGTAAAGGTTGCCTTGTATTCAGTTTGGCTTCTGTCCAACACAGGAAAATATCCAGTAGCACAAACATGTTTAGTAATACTACCTTCTTGGGTTTTTTTTTAAATTACATCACAGACCAGTCTATTGGCCTGTCATTTCCTGGTGGTCTCTCATCCATTCATCCTGTAGGGCTACGCACCCTTGAAAGTCATTCAGAACGTGTTCTACAGATGTTGTACCAGTGCTATTCACTGGTTCTGTGCCCACCAGAAACGTTCACCCCAAATCCCTCTTATTGTGGCTTCATGTGGCAGGGAGGCCATCGTGTGCTGGACATTCAGTAGGGTTTAGTGAAGAATAGGACTGTTCAGCTGATTAGAATCCAGGGACTATGACCCCATGAAAATGGCTTTCAAAAGATTGAAAAGGAAAGCAGTAGCTAAGGCATCATGTGTGACTCTCATATGTTCTAGACCTGAAACGAATGGATTGCAAAGCAGAGGTCATGTTAGTGTGGGAAGAATCCAGAGAAAGAAATATTTTGGGAAATATTAAAAAGGCAGAATAGATTTCCCCAACTGGTTTTAAAGGCAGAACCAACCCCCCCCTCCACAAGTCTCTCTTTCCCAAACAAAAACCAGGTCTGCAGAAATGCAGATGTGATAATCTTGTCAGAAAGATTGGAGTCAGGAAGCTTGAATTAGAAAGATCCCTAGAATCAACAATCCCTCACACCAAAAAAAATCCAACAGTCATCAGCCACAGCCCCAGGGAAGCAAAATATGACCTTTGGAACATAATAGGATTAACCCACCACCATCAGAATACCAGAAAGGCACACTCAGACTCAGGTCAAAGTTCATGCCACAGGAAATACGAAGCCTCAAATAGGGACAGGAAACAACCTCGAGAGCCCCAGAAGGTATAAAAACCCACCACTCACTGCTACATGTGGTCAGTTTTTCCAGAGCCATCTTTCTATCTGGCTCTCCTCTCCAATAAACTATAACTTTCTTTCTAAAGCAGTCTCCATTTTGATTATTCCCAGCTTGGACTGGACCCTGATGAAAATGTTTCCTTCAACGATAGGTCTAGGCAATTATTGTTGACCCTATGGCTCTTTGTTTATTATTTTCTTCCCACTTTTCCTTGAATTACTTTTTCTAGACCACCTGCATAATTACTGACACATGGATCATCTGCTACCTCTTCCCTCCTAGGGGGACGTTAATGAGATTTGTGCTGAAATGTGATTATTTCTGCAGGTGGATTTCTACACCTAGGGTAAAATAAAGATGCCCTTGAATCCAGCTTGTCTTCTGATGACTATAACTGCAGATTCCTGTCCCATTG